AGACGTAGCAAGAGAGCGGCTGTCGTGCAGTTGTTAACACACAGGTTTGATCCTCGCTACAGCAAAGATTATCATGGGAAATGTGGTCACTAAAGCAGCAAATAGTCAAGAGACGCAGCAAATAAAATTATAATATGCTATAGTAAATGGTGATTACTTTGACACGTGTCTCTGACATATTAAATTACAACTCTTTAAACTTTAAATGATAATTTAGGTTTACTACAACTTGCATCTCATTTTCATGGTTTTGGCCACCAGTTCTATCAGTATTAACATTTACAAAGATCTGGTAGCAAGCTGACATCGCAAATAAAGAAGTCAGACAGCGCGGGAAACAAGAGCAGTCAGACGATCATGTGGGTTTTAAACAAACCCCCAGTTTACTTTAACTTAATGCTTATTTGGAAGAGAAAACAGTGAATGACTCAAAATCATCCATCACAGTGTACAAACCAGCTCTGACCTACAGTATTTACTGTAGTTGTGCACACAGTTTTCCTGTACAATGATGAATTATCAAGTGATTTAGATAATGCGGCTAATCTGTTGGCTTATTAGCCGCTCTAGCAGCATGGCTGCGATGTGGATCTGTCAGTTGGTCAATCTATCTATCTTTAATGTAACTTAAATATCTAATAAATACCAGATCTTTACCAGACACCAATAGCAGATGAAAGAGGATGAATCCTGATGACATTGTTCAACTCTCAATTTTTGGGTAGATTTTGTACAGACATTTATGGCGCCCACAAATGACTATGATTTTGTTGAACCTCACTTTCCCTCATCAGGCTGACACTGTAATTACTTCCCCCCTGATCCCCTAACTCGTCAGCTAGTGCCATAACCAGAGAAACATTTTTTATTTATTCATTTTTGCAATCTTTATTTGATTGTGAAGCTGAAGACAGGCAGGAGAAAGAGACAGGACATGACATGTAGCCTATGGTCGTGTACTATAATCGAACCCAGGCCGCAGCAGTAATCACTCTACTAGGTGAGCTACTGCAGCGCCCCCAGATCAAAATATTAATTTCTTAATGACCAAATTTGTGAAAAACTGACACTTCCAAAATCCTTAGCTATAGTGTCTAGTGCTAAATATGTGCAAGCCTACTCACTAAACTGTGATGTTGAACACGGTAAACATTAAATCTGCTAAATATCAGCATGTTAGCATCGTCTCCTCTCTTTGAGCACGTTAGCGTGCTGGTTACAGCAGTTTATCTCAAAACACCGTGTCTAAGTACAGCCTCACAGAGCCCCTAACATAGCTGTTAGACTCTTACTCTTGTTTACAACCTGTCTGATCGTTCTATCAGACTTTATTTTGTTGCGATGTCACTGGGTCCCCAGATCTCACTTAGTGAGTGTTACTATAACCAACAGCAATGATGGCCAAAACTCCAAAATAAGATGCAAGTTGTAAGCTTTTGTATCTGAGTACTAGGTGTTGACTCAGTAGCTATAAAAAATATAATAATGGTTGTGGGAGTTTTGTTGTGATATGGTGTAAATCAATTCAGTGTAGGATTAGGTAAATTTGAACCTTGGAAATGTCAAAGGAGGTTTATTATATACCATAAGTGCTGTATAAATCTTAAGTTATTTGAAGCTGGAACGTGGCTATTTCTCTGAATTAGATCTCGTCTCTCACCACATTTGAAATACAACGTGACTTACTGATGGTTTACTTTCCTTCAAACGGGTTTATTCTGGGAATGTGAAGAGACCTGGTTATTTCTGAAGTTGTTTTCTACATAACATGCAGCCGTAATGCAAGAATGTACAAAAAAAAGAGAGCGACAAAAAAGGGCTTGTGGTGTAAGAAAAGGCTGAAATAAGCAGACTGAGTGAAACAGGTAGGAGAAAAAGGAAGTAACAAATGAGTAGAGGAGTGCCAAAGTGCCAGTGCAAAGGGCGAGGGAGCTACAGTAGCTCTATGAGAGAGAAGACAGAGACAAAATGTAAGAAAGAAATAGAAAAGAGAGTGTTATTGGGTGTTACAGTCTGAGTCTGTTCTTTAAGAGCTAATAATATTTCTCTCCTGTCTTTCTCATAAACACGGCAAGACAAGGTGGAGAGGACACAAAGAGTGAGAGTCAATCACGTCAGATGTGTATATGTGCGTGTGTGACATCAGATAGCTGTCTGTGTGTTTTTTGTCTCGAGAGGGACCTAATAATGTGTCTGTCAGAGCAACAAGGACACGGAGATAGACTTATCTCCACATTGTGACACACACACCAACACAGATTCCACCATACACAATGCTAGGCACATACTGCTGGCAGCTATAATGTGAAGACACACACACAGTGATGGTGATCCTCGTTCTAACCTGTAGAGCACCCCAAAAAATCTACCTTTTCATCTACGCATTCATTCGCCCATTCAACCTTTCACTATTCATCCACTGATATGTCCGTCAGTACATCCACCCATCCTTCCTTCAACACCTTTATTTAACCACATAATCTTATCTTTCTGAAGCACACTCATTCCTTTAAAACTGCATTTTGATATTGAATGAAAAGCCAGAGTTTCTCGTTGAAGTGTGTGTCTTTGTGTGTTCTACGGGGCACAGTCTCATTTGAATTTATGTAATGAAATGCTCAAGTGGTTTAATAATTTGTGTGTGCGCCTCTGTGTGTTTGCACTCTGATAACAGAAAGTAGAATGTGACATGTCCTCTAAAAGTCACCATTTGTTGTTCTGCGATACATCTTCATTTGGCCAGCTCATTACCTTGGTTTCACATGACAATACGTCCTGCTGGCAACATAGTTAAGACGCATGGACGGAAACATTTTTGGCTGTTTGTCGTAGTTTGCTATTTATTTATTTATTTATTTATTTGGCTTTTTCCCTACCTTTTTTTAAATCCCAGCGTTGTTTTTCTTCTCACTCCATCTGACTGTCTCTCTCAATTCTTGTTTCCCTCTTTGTCTTACTGTCCTTGTTTGTTTTCTCAGAACAGTAAGTCTTAATTTTCTTTCCACAGTACTGCAAACAGTATCAAGCTTATTTGATCATACTATCATCAACTTGGCTGCTGGATTTACCCAATCTGATATGTGGTAAAATGAACTGTCAGAATGTATTGTTTAAAATGTATTAATGCCAGGCTGAAGGATAGGATCTTAAAGGAATAGCTTGGCATTTTAAGGGAAAAAATTGATTTCTTGCCAAGGATACGTTTTAAACCATTCTTGTCTATACAGAAAATATGAAGCTATATACAGCTTGCAGTTAGCTTGGATTAGCACAGAAAGTGGAAGCAATGGGAGAAACAGCTAGCCCGTGGTAGCTAACCATTTGCCACTGGTTGCTCATAAAATCACAATTTGTCATTTTTTACATTTTAACACAGATACAACAACATAATAATTAAAATGTAATAGTAAAGATATCACAATAACAGGCTATGCATAGCTTTTAGTTATTGCAGCCTCCTGCACACAATTTAGCTGACATAATTATGCCCTTCTGATAAGTACTTGAGAGCATCTTCTTTGGACTTTGATTTTCTGTCTTCACTTGATGTCAAACTAAGCCAAGAGTAATTATGGGCCGGACTTGTGCTGAACGAAACATAAGCAAAGGTTCTCTGAGTACTTTTAGGGTTATGAAAAATGAGCCAGACCGGGTGAAGGGTCCTGTCTCACAGGAAATGTTCAAATGTTTAGAAAGAATTTCAATTTGCTCAGTGCCTCTGTAATGTTGGACTATTTTCCTGCTTATTAAAAGCATACTGGAATCTTTTCTGGTGTAGGAGCATGCAGTCCATAAAAATGACTGACATATCTGTAATAGATAGGAACACAGTGCTCTAATAATGATTTTATTACCACATCTCTGTCTGTAAAACATATCATACCTTAATGGTGGACACTTAAACACTTAATTGAAAACCATAATTCCTCTTTTATTGTTATCAGCTCAAAAAACACTGATCTTCAAAACTCATTTGTTGAGAAAATTTGATTACTACTAAAACAGGTCATGAACTACTGGTGGCCATATCTGGCCTTCATGAGAATATGATGATATCACTTTTTGATGCACCTGACACCAAAATGACTGTTCCTAAACCGAAAAAGAAATGGTTAAATAGGAGACCAAGCAGTTTAAAAGGTGGACTGTTATTGGACCCCTGCCCTGACAGCAAAAAAGGTTGATTGGAGTCGACAGGGAGTACTTCGGAAAGGGAAGGTTGGACAGGTTTCTTTTGACTGCTAAGTGCTGCTAAACTCAATCTGTTGACTGTTAAAGTTTAGAGTGTGTACCAGCAAAGTAGCGAATTTATGCTAAACACTGTGTTTACACGCACCGATTTAAATTCTACCTGCATGTGTTGCGTGTATCTAGTCACATCCTGAGAATAAATAGGCCTTATACTCATGAATAAAACATCCCACCTATTAAACTAGTCACAAATTACACACTAATTGAAATATGGCGTTATTATTGTTGTGGCTAATATGGACATACCCCATCTATGGGTTTTCTCAACAATAGGATGAGCTCATTTGGGTTGTAAATGGGATGTGATTATTAGATATTTGTGAAGCTATAATCAGAATATTTCCAACAAAATAAACAGTAAATGTCAGTGCGGAAATGGCATACCGAAGTTTCTCAGCTTTCTCATTTTGTTTTGTCCTTTAGTCTTTTTTCCCCTCTTACATAGTCCTCCCTGTCTCTCCATTTATCTTAAAATACACACACTCCCATACACACACTCACACACATCCCATCTTCTTGCTTTCTTCTTGGAAACTGGGTTACATTTAACAAAATGTGATACATTTCTAGCGGCCACTTCCATTTGGGTCTTTATTTAAACATCCCATTTCCTCTGCAGTACAGAAAATGCACAGCAAAGTGCTGACGTGTATTAAAGACGTGTCTACATCAGGAGGATTATGTTTAATGACAGGTTTTCTTGGTACTGTTGGTTAGTGGTCTTTCTGTTTCTCTCTTTGATCTTCCAGGCGTGGATATGGGCAACATGAGGTAGGTGTCTTTCCCTGTGTGTATGTGTGCTATATAGTTGTATGTGTGTTTTCTTTCCTCTGATGTTTAGTGGTACCCTTCATTGTTTCTGCTCTTTCTGTTCTCTTTCTGTTTGATGTAATCAAGACGGAGCAGCATGTAATCAGTGCCTTGTATCTAAAATGTATTGGATCTACATAATTAGTCCCCCATTTCTAAAAAAGAAAAATTAAGATCTCTGCAGTCCATTGATGGTGCATATTAAAATGTAAAAACACAGATGTTGATAAAGAAATCTAAAAACCTGGACTTTTGGAGATGGGGAATACTGTTAATCTTCAAAAATCTTTATTCCAGAGCAGTGGAGAGACATAGAGATGTTGGGAAATCATTTTTGGTCATTTTTTGACCATCACATGATCTACCACAGCATTGGTGGAGCATGTAAAAGAGGTCTTACTGTTAAAAAGTAGCTCATTAACACAGAACTGACTTTTTAGTTGGTGAATATCTATCCCCAATCACTCTGACATACATTTTTAAACTTGTACCTGACTGACTGCACCAATACACAGACACGACCATCGGCATTCTAGCTATATTGAACAAGGAGCATCGGGTATTGATTTAATGTTTCCAAAATAGAGCTCCTAACTTCCATTCGTCTTGTCATTGGCCACTTTTCTTTCCCTCTGGCAGACACAACAACTTCTCAGACCTTCTCTGCTCAGACCAGAGGTACCCTGTCTCTCTCTTCTATACTTTCTCACTTCCCAATGTGTGTTTCTGCATGGGTGTGTGGGTTTGTGTAAGTGCTGTCAATTTAATCAGAGGTGAAAAAGTGCAATTTCTCATGCAGCTTTAATTAAGTACGTATATGTGAATGTGAGTGTTTGTATAGATTTGTGTGGGTGTACTAGTAGGCATGTATCTCTGTCTGTGGACAATGTGTAGAAAGCTGCTAATAAATGTCTATCAATCTAACAGGAGTTATCAATGGAATCTGGCATTGACCCCGGCCAGGATTACTACACTCAAGATTATTACAACTATGATCATGGGTAAGTATTTCTTAATAGTTCCCTGCACATTCTATATATATCTATATATCACTACATGTGCATATAGGTCATATTGTGCTTATATGTCTGTAAGCTTAACATACTGTATGTGCTGATATGATGCTTTTGAAGCTTTGCTTTTTCTGAACACAAATTAACTTAATCTGAGAAAACAAATTGTATTGTAGTTATGTTCACTTAGTAGCTGTCCTGGAGCTTTCTATTGTATCACATGATTTTCCTCAGCAGATGGAGTTGCCCCATTGTCATGAAAATGTATGTTTCTAGTGGTCAGATGTGTTGTTCTTCATCAACAGCCACAGACCCTAAAATCAGTATGGCTGAGTTGTAATTCAGTTTAATTCCTATTTACGTGGACTTGTATTGTGTTGATATGAGCGTATGCTATTGTTCGACAACTTTCTGTTGAATAAACCAAAGAAACAGAATTAGTTACTGAAGCTTTGGTTTTGCTCATAAAAAGGCGTCATGTAATCAATAATAATGGAATATGGTTTATGACATTTTGCATCATGATACTGGCATGTATCCATTTCGGAATTTATTCTTATTAATATCATGATACTGGTTTCAACCTTTTGCCCAGCCCTAAAAGTTATACTCCCAATACAATTATCATTTTCTCAAAAATATTTTAATAGCCAGTCACGGCTGCATAAACAGAACAGTGTGGATAATAGTGATGGTATTTCATATTGTTCCCGAGCAGTTTAGAGATCTTAGAGTATAAAACATGCATTATTTACAAGCAGTCACAGTAGAACAGATACTGAGGGCAATGAATATAGGCCGTCTCCACTATGCTTCATCTCTAACCTTTGACCTCTAGCAGTGGCCGACAGCATTTATGAAACACATTTCCTCCTACATGAGTCTGGAGTTCACGGTGTGCACTTTATCCAGCTGAGTGTCATGTCAGCCCCTTGGCAGCCGCTTTGATATCAAGCTGACCGTGTCAATCACACAGTATGGTGGCTTGATGTTGAAAAGGCAAGAAATACTATATAGGAATGTCAGTATATTGAACACATGCATACAGAAACATTAGATCAAAGCGCTCATGAAACAAGACCTCTGAAGACTTATTGCATCCTTCCTGTGTGTGTGTGTGTGTGTGATTCTGCACCCAGGCTGCCATCTGTGATGCATTGTGTAATTTTTATAATTTTAGCTGCAGACTCCCGGGAACTTGATTTTATACGCCCACCCACACTCACACATAAATACACAGTAGCACACACACATGCACAGACACACACACATAAATTCTCTCATGGCAAACACATTCATTCACTCCCTCACTCATACACTCACTCAGAAATGCTTTCTTGCTCATTCTTTCTTTCACACACATGCACACACACACACACACACACACACACACACACAGCGCTAATTCTCTCTGCCTTGCAATACTGTAGCAGCTAATCAGGCAGCCAGCCGTGGAGGCAGACAATGGGCCAGATGCTGTTGGCTTAGAGCAACATCTACAAACTCATGTCTGACTCTGTATGTACAAAGGAGCGGGAAATCAAACTTTGTGACCCGGTGGGACTCAGATGTAATCATTTTATTTGTCGCAGTTGTAAATGAAAGGTGCAGGGTTTTGCTCCAGTATTCACTTCCATAGCCATAGTAATCTGTTTGAAACCTTATGGAAGGACAGGTTGTAACCTTTTGACCTTTCCTTTCATCTGTCTTCAAAAGATGAAATCAAAATGGGATTTTCTCTGCATGTGGGAATGTAGCCATCTGCCATTGGTATATGTCTGATTGGATTTATACAGATGCAGAAAATAACTTCAACCATTTGTTGCACAGGTCTGATGTTCTGATGTATGTCTGCAAAAAAACAACAACAACAAATACAACAAAACAAGCCAAATTCATGTTGCCCTCTAGTCAAGAGTAAATTACTCAACCCATACACGCCACAGAGCAATAAGGGATTAAATCTTGCTTTTCCAAAATCGTTACTGGCGTGGGTGATGAGCAGTGTGACTGTCACAAAGATGATAGGTGCTGAGTTAGGGCACCCACATAAAAATATAGGATTAGGAGGGTGAAATCTGAGATTATGAGCTCAATGAAGATACAGTTTTCATGTTATAAACAGAAGGAGGACAAAGGTGAGAACAAAAAGAGTAGTAGTTTAGAAGTCTGCATGTCCAGATGCTTTAAGGCAGGGTACAATGTGTATGAATACATTCAAATGGGAAATAATATTAAAGGGCTGGTTCAACATTTTGGGAAATATTCGTATTTGCTTTCTTGCAGAGAGTTAGATGAGACAATTGATACCACTCTGTACGTTGAGTATGAAGGCAGGTAGGTTAGCTTAGCATGAGTGCTAGCCTGACTTTGCCCAACCAGCACCTCAAAAGCTCAATAATTAAGGATTTATGGTTATTTTATAGTCATTTACAATGCAAGGTTGCAAAATGAAATTTAGATATATTTCTATTTATGCTACTTTTAAAAACAAAATAAAAATGTATTCATGAGTCATAAAAACTAAAATACTTGTTGTCTTTAAGTCTAGTGGTACGGCAGCAGAAACTTCTGTGCCTCTTACCAGATGGCAGTGGGGTGAACAGGCTGTGTGTGGGGTGGGTGCTGTTTTAGAATCCTTTGGGCTCTGCGCAGATACTTCACCTCAACGATATCACTGATGCTGAGAGCTGAGATGTACCAATGATCTTCTGGGCAGTTTTAATCACCCACTGTAGAGTCCTTCTGTCCTGGACTTTATATTTCATTTCTGCAATCTGTACCAAAACTGAAGAAAGAACAAGTTGTGGTTTTACTGGAGGAAGAGTCTCCTCGCTCCAGCATATTTAACAGTTAGGAGAGTGGTATCAAATGGGGTAAATAAGTGTTTTTCCCAAAATGTGAAACTGTTCCTTTCTGTTTTGTCTTCATGCCCTTTGCACATAATAACAGTTGGGAGTTTTGCAAGAGACAGATCAAGAAAATAATGGTCAAATAAAAACAGCAGAGGTCAAGAGCAGCTCATGACTCGCATGCATCAAGCTCCAAAAATATTTTGCCTTAGACCTCCCATAGTGCAACTACATAGCATTTTCTTTATAGCCCCTCTGTCTGTGAAATGACCACTTCTTTCAATCTTCTACTGCCAGTATGTAACACTTTCTGCTAAAAGTATGTGGTGTCGAAGTCCATGCTGAGTCCATTCAAGTTAAATAACTTGAATAATTCACATCTCACTGCAAAGCCACCAAAAAACAAAAAATGACCTTTACAAGCTGTTAAGTATTAACCATGATTCGTAAATTGACTTATATAACATATAACATATAAAATTGATAAACTCCCCCTTATTAGATTTAATATCCAAACAAACTAAGCATCCATTATTAAAACAAACTCAAAATTCTTAACTCAAAAATAGCTATTGTCCTCTGAGAAGAAATATCATTCATTTTCTCTACATACTTTTTGTAAGAATATGCAGAACCTTTTTCAATCCTAATGTTTCATTTTGTAACAAAGCTGTAGATTAATTCAAGCTGGCAATTATGAAACTAAGCAAAATGTATTTTGTTTCATTTGGGAATCGGAAATTGGTTTTATTTTCTCATCCAGTGACTTTTAAAGGCTATTAAAGCATACAGGACTAGTACTCTTTGTCATGTGGAGGCCTCTTACTGTGTGAATGTGTTCACCCATCCTGGGACTGACCATTAAACAATCATTTAGCATTTGGAAACCCATCTGAAACAGGCCAGTGACCCAATTTGGTCCGTACACACACGGCTACAAAACCACACCATCGAAGCTTGGCTGTAATGCTACTAGTGATTCTGGCAACTTTGAAGTGCATGAACTGATTCCCAGTTTATTACTGCCCCCTAGTGGTGAGATGCAGAGAGGGAGGACAGAGTGAAGGGAGGAAAGACCACTTGGAAGGAAGAAAATCTAATCAAAGAGTTACTGTAGCCTTTAAGTGATTTGATTGTGTGTGTGTGTGTGTGTGTGTTGTGTGTGTTGTGTGTGTGTGTGTGTGTGTGTGGTGTGTGTGTGTGTGTCTGTATTTCAGTTTGAGTCCATAGGTTAATGACTGTAAAAACCAATAAGCAGATTTTAGTTGAAGCTCATTACATTAGCTCACAGAGGCCACACTCAGGATCATAACTGTGAAACTTTTATGACTGACCTGGTTGTTCTGTTTCGACCCTACCATTGTTCACTCCTTTCTTTCCCATCCCTATCACACCTCTACCTCCTCCGCCTTTTCTCACCCACACACATCAGTCATCCACTTGCCGCTTCCATTTCTTTATTACTTGATTACTTAATGTAATAGGGAGGGCAGTTTCTCCCACCAGTTGACCGTAAGGAAAGTGATTACGCGAGGCAACTTTTCTGTACAACTCTGTTACGGAACCAAGCCAAAGGACTTACAGCAGATGTGTTACTTTAATCACACTGGGACATATTGTTTCCAGGATAGCATTTGAAAAGATGTGTTTTTTGACCCACTGGCTCTACCAAGTTGCTTGCTGCAGGGCATGGAGCCCAAGCGGTGATACACAACACAGTTTTTTGGCAGGTGGAGCGAGGCAGCGCTCCCGGCAACAGGCAACAAAGAGAGACAAAGGGAAAGGAAATCGATTCCAGTGTTTTCTGCTAACAAAATGTCTCCTGGCAACAAAATGCTCCCTTTGTGATTAAGGCAGCTTTGCTTAGGCAAGTCATTAGACACTGCTTATCATTGGAGTGAACCACGTTGTTGCCCTGTGTGTTATTGCTTTAAATGGCAGTGGATAAGCATTAGCCAAGTGCAACAGTTTGGTTTGTACAGCAGATTGCCCTCCTTCTTCACTACTACTACTGGCCAAGCTGTCGGACAATACCACAGCTTTTGTTTATTTCTTATTATTATTACATATACAAAAACTCCAAAAAAAACAAAATGAATGTAGTAGTGAATTTGAGAATTTGCTATTCCTGCTCTGTTACTGCTTATCTGTAAAGCTCTGGTTTTATTTCTCCCTCCCTCTCTCTGTCCAGGTATGACCTTCCTCAGTACGGCAGTCGCAGGAAGCTGATCTCCCCCTCTGGCCTCTATGATGAATATGGAGAAGTTGTTGTTGATGACGACGGCAGCTACTACTACAGCCCACAGGAGTCTGAAGGAGAGGTAAAATAACAGAACAGAAGAGAAACCTTTAGATATTTCCTAATAGCATCCATGCTGTGTAATGAGGAGAACTTGTTGATCACAGTGGCATTTATTGATTTTGCAAAGTATTCCAGTGGAGACAAAACATTCATGTGGTGAAAGTACTAAATTAAATTATAGTTCAGGCATTACAAACTTAAAGTGCTCTTGCAGTCTGCCTTTTTGATGTTAAAACCCTTTCAACAAAATTCAGCATATATAGTTTTCAAAAAAATTATCACACTGTTAGACTGCTTTGAAGGTTGGGTCACGCCATCAATTCAAATAAACTGTTTCAACATTTTGGGAAATTCATTCATTCTCTTTCTTGCTGAGATTTAGTTAAGAAGATGAATAGCACTCTGATGTCTGTATAATATACAGTATATGAAGCTACAGCCAGCAGCTGATTAGCTTAGCTTAGCATTAAGAAAAAAGGGAAAACAGTCTGGTTCTTTCCAACGGTAACAAAATCCGCCTACTAGCACCTCTGAAGCTCCTGAATTAATTAAGCCAGCGACACAGTGAGGGTGCCAACGCAGGTGGGGGGTCCAGCAAAAAAAAAGTTGAACCTGGTTTAACTTTTGCAGTGACACAGCACTGTGGTGGCCAATCAAATATGTGCAAGCACACGTGTGGTATATTATGTGGTAAAGTGAATGTGGTATGTGGATCATCGCAACGAAATATAAAATAAATGTTGTTGTGATAACCTAGACTTCCTGAATTGTATTTATCTTATTGTTTATCGTATTGTATCAAAGACTATGGCAAAAAAGCAAATGAGCACACTTCCCAAAATGTGGGACTGTTCCTTTAAGATTTTGCCATGCATCGTTCCTGGATTTTTTTTTAAACTTGTTTGAAAACAGGGTATTCTATAAATAACCACAATGACAAAAGATATCTATGACATGTTCATATTTTGTAACTTTTCATCAGTCTGAAAGATCTTCATACTGTTAGCACTCCACCCCTGTGAAAGAATAGGAGGTACAAGGTTAAGGCTTGCTCCTAATAATACTGCTGATATTAATACTTTTGCAGTTTACGTGTCTTATTTGTTCCTTACCTAAATGTTCTTATTTGGTTTTGGACGAATATCATCATGACAACAGGTGAGGAGACAGTTTCAAGGAGGTAGATTAGCGCCACCCCCTGCCTACCTCCAGCAACGTCCTCCACCTTCTCACGAGCCCTCAAGGAAGACCCCAGGAGCCCCAAGAACTGTGGGCGACAATAAACAACCGTCAGATGGTGGTACAACCGCGAACATGAAGCCTAAGAGCTCGAGTGCGGCCACCAGGTTAAAGGCTGTGATGAGTGTGAGTGCTCTGCTGTCCTCTGGGAGTAAAACATCTGGACAACCTCCTGCCATCCACCCGCCCTGGAACAAAGCCAGGGTCAGGCCCATGGACGTGGGGGAAGGAAGTAGAGACAGATTGGAGGAAAGAAAGAGTGACAGAGCAGGAAGAGGATTAGAGAGAGGGGAAGCAGGGAAAAGAGAAAACAAAGAGGGAGGAAGAGATGAAGCGGCAGAGAGAGGGTGGGAAAGAAAAATGGAAACATGGGGAAGAAGCAACAGAGGTGGTGTGACAAACAATGGGATGAGAAATGATGTTGGAAGAGGAGAAGGCGTCAGGCCAGGGCACAGGGGAGAGCTCCCTGGCTTGTCGTCCTCTGGCCACTTCTTCAGCCTGGACGGTGGCATGGTCATCGACGGGAGTTATTTCCAGACGTCCGTTGAAGCCAGCAAACCCCCTCCGGTAAAACAAAAGCTGAGCGAGGCCCTCAGTCTTATCTCTCTCACCAGAAGGCTCCAGGGACCTGCCCGGGTGGGAGACGAACAGTGGAGAAATGGAAAAAGCTGGGACGGAGGAGAGGAGAATGGCAGGAAGATGTATGGCTCCATAGGAGATATGAGTGTTTCTGCCATAGTGTCTGAGAGAGCCGTGGGGGAGGAGAGGAGGAGGAGGAGGGAGAGGGACTTCCGAGAGGAGAATAGCTCCTCTGAGGTGTGGTGGAAGAAAGAAAAAAGATTTAATGACAGCGATTCAGAAACAGGCAGTGGCAGCAAGGAGTCTCCATCAGAGTTCAGTCTCTCCAACGCGAGTAGCCCCACCTCATCCGTTACAGCCGAGCACAGCAAGACCGAATCTGATACAGAAACGGAAAAAAATGAGTCCGACTCGGGAACAGAAAGGGAAGGGGGAACTCCCGAGACAGAGTCAGAAAGTGGGAGCCTGAGAGGGTTAGAGTCTGAGCCGGAGTCAGGGTTAGAGAGTGAGGAGGAGGGGAAAGAGTCGAGCAGAAAGCGCTCAAAAGGTAGTATCAGTAACAGTTCTGCGAGCAGCAACAGTAATAATAGTAAAAGTAGAAGCGGCAGTGCCAATGCAAAGAGGGAAAGAACAAGCAGACAGAGGGAAAACGGCAAAAAGGATCGAAACAGCAGCAGTGACTCAAAAAGTTTGAGATATTCAGGTTCTAGGCCCCAAACATCTAGACACTCCCGTTCGTCACATGAAACAATAGAGGAAGAGAGCGAGGAAGATGAAGAATCTGGAGTGGAGGGGGAAGAGGCGAAAGGGGTTGGATCGCGGAAGTCTTCGTCGAGCAGGCGGGCCGCCAACCACATCCAGTCAGACATCAGCTCAGGCATGATAGACGACTCAGACGACTTGTCACCCATCATCGAGGACACCGAGGAGGAGGAGGAGGACAGAAGCAGGGGCCGCCATGGTGGGGAAGAAGACCAGGATGAAGAAGAGGGGGATTTGGAAAATGAGTCGGCTGATTGAAATGCAGATGAGGCCTTAGTCCCCGTCCCCCCCCTCCCATCCCCACCAAAGATTAAATTCTTTGCCACTAAGTAAGATCTCTGTGAAAATGCTTGCGTTGGGTGTGCAGTCATTACCTGGGTGGAATTTATTACTGTAATCTCTCTTTTTCCTTGTTTGGTGTGATTTACATTCACAGGAGTTTAAATTGGCTGTGTGTCCTCTGCTGCCCTCTCAGAGTATCTCCTCCTGTGGTTCTTTGCCTCTTCCCTTTGCTTGTATCTTTGAAATCAGCCTCTCTTCTTGTGTCTTGGCTTCCTTTCTAACGGCGTTGATACTCTTGAAGTGCTCAACTGGTTTACCTCCGGTAGTTTTTCCCCCGAGCTGACTCGTGTCAATTTCCTTTTGTGAAAGCTCCACTTCCAGCTGCTTATTTCTCGATATTCACTGACCTCTTTTTGTTGCACTAAAAGTTCACTCGAGCTTTTTACATTAGTTATTTCTTTTTCTGTGTCTATCATTCTCCCTGTATCTGTCAGTTATTCCAGTACCTGTTATCTGCAGGGAGAAATGATGCTTTCTCTGTAATGGCGAACGTATTCTTTCTTCCACACTATCAAGGTTAAATGGAAAAACTGAGGGTTATATTTTGTAACAGCAGGTCAGTCAGTTATTTTCTTCTTTCAAAGTGTGTGCACAGCAGTGTTTGCTCTGAATAAACAAAGAGGAAGTCATAGTGTTTAATCTTATAAATAGTTCCATCCAATATGGGAATTAATATACAATCCTCCACCCTTTCTTATGTCAAAATTATAAAGCACCACATGATCAAAAGGCTGCTGTGAATCACCAAATGAATCTGGGAGTAAATACTGCCGTGGTGCCTTGTCTTTGCTATGTAGTGTGTTTGCAGTGTGAGTGAAAGAGCTACTTTTATTCAGTTTTCTTAATTTTGCAGAATGTCTTAAAAAGTAAATGAAATGAAAGGTCACACATTTCATTTGAGCTCACAGAACCTTTAACATGAGTTGAAAATGTTGTTTCTCCTGACCTCTGGTGGTCAAAGTTCTCACCTTGCTGCTGTAGAAATGTATGTGAGGTGTGAGAGGTCCTACAGATTGAAACCAGACGAGCTCACAGTGAAGCAACGCTTTCAGGCTGGTGTTAAAGGACAGGTTCACATTTGACAAGTCTTAAAACAATGTGCATATGTACATTAAAAGATATGTTGGTTACTGTAATCTTTCTCCCTGTATACCGGCTGAGAAGAGATCCTAATGTTATATAACAGCAACAGACAGCCAATTAAAGACAAGGGAAAAGAAAAAACAGTAAATATTTTTTTAAAGAACACCAATTACACAGCGTCAGAAGTTTAATGACATATTATTTGTGTGTTTTTCCAGCACGGCAGTAGAAAACGTCGGATTAAGTTGGTAGTGGACCGTGAATATGAGACCAGCTCCACCGGTGAGGACAGCATGCCAGAGACCCAACGCAACCGCTTATCCTCCACCCTCAACAGCCACGCTAACGTTAACGGCAGCATCTACGTGGCCCAGAATGGCTCCATCATCCGCACCCGACGTTCAGTAAACGCCACGGTTCCCACACACACACACACCAACACGAACAACAACCTAAAACTTCCCTCCCCCGTCTTCAGCTCACGGCTGGCCAAGCACTTTAAAAAACTAGACAAAATGGCTGCCACGCTGGAGGAAAGAGTACCCCTGAACAGCCCCAGAACAGACGTTGGGTGCAACACGCTGCGCACCTTCCAAAGTTCGGGAATGGCCACCTCTGCGACGGCCACTTCCTCTTTCTCTAACACTGACAACAATAAAACGCTGAATGAGTTTAACAATCGACAATCCAGCGTGTCTTTAGGGTCAACCAGCACCAGCAACACGGGCACTGAAAGTGTGGCATCTAAATCCAACCTGCTCAAAGCGGCGCAGGGCGGCACGGAGCAGCCGCAGAGCACAGCGGGGATAGACGAGTTGAAGGAAGGCGAGAGAGAGTCGAAGGTAGACGGCAGTAACGACGACGACGACGACGACAACGGGCTCGTTATGAGGGGGCCATTGGAGTGCCCGAGTGACAGAACGCAGTCGGATGAGGAGGAACTATGGATGGGCCCGTGGAACAGCCTTCACATACCCATGACCAAACTCTGACTGTGCTCGCTCCTTATTGCCAAGATCATTAAAGCGTTCAGACATCATTTCTGTTCATTAGTTGTGGAACTAATGGGGATGCTCCAATCCAATTAAAAGATATCTAATTAGCAGATTGGTACCCAGCTAAATGGTGAATTAGCATATTCTGGTATTTAAACTTTATTTCACTAAGAAGTACGTATGCACTCAAAATAATTAATTTTTGTTTAAATTCAGACACATTTGATAAAAATACATTTAAAAAAAACAAGTAACTCTAATTGGTTGTTTTTCCAGTTAAAATGTCTGTTTTGTTACTGCTCAATATTCCAATCGGAGCATCCCTTAAACCCAATTGATCTCAGAGCTGCAACACTTTGGAAAACTGGACCTAGAATGAGAGGACTTGTTATATTTCTACTTTGCTAAGAGATAATGAAGGAAACTTGAGGACAGTCTATGAACTTTTTATGGCCCTTTAAGCGACTGGTTTCTCTGTATGGAACTTGTTTCATTCAGTACTAGGGCTACCGGTGCGACTCATCTTGAATTTGCCTGGCACTTTGCATTGACACTTGTCTTGTATTGTTCAAACTTGCCTTTTTATTCTTGTCAAGTTGCTTGGCAAACTTTATCCAAATAAAAGACTATTTCATCCATTGAAATGTGGAGTTTGGCTAACTTGGTGTTGCGTTTTTCTATGGTGAGTTGTGAGCTTCCAAAGGGTGGAATGTAGAGTAATGTGTTTTTCTGGTTCAAATTTGCAAACTCAATACTTTGTTCTTTAAACTGTTTTTTTTTTCCTGAAATATGCTTGTTTCTCTTTATTGCCAAGAGTAAGATGAGAAGATTAATACCACTCTAAAAAAAAAAACTAAATATGTAGCTGGAGCAGCAGCCTGTTAGCTTAGCATAAAGACTGTTAACAGGGGCAACAGCTAGCCGGACCCTTTTATAAACTACCTGTCAGCACCCCTAAAGCTCTGATCTGTACAAAAACCTGTACATCTACATATTTAACACACAGACAAGAGAAAGTAGTATTGATCTCATCTAGCTCTCGGGAAGAAATAAAATAAGTGTATGTCACAAAATGTTAAACTATTCATTTACATCCATGGGCATATAAATTGTTATTACTACATCACTCAATAAAGAAGCTTTGGCTTTAATGCAAACTGGAAAATAAATTAATGAAAACTGCAATGAGATTTTGAATTTTGGAACATCCTGATCTTGAGGTTTTAATGTCAGTCTCAGATGGTATTTTTAGTATGAGATTAAGTACTTTGTCAGGTCGATGCTGAGTGCTAGATTTAAACTATCACTTTCTGTTGGTAAGATATACAGACCCGATTTAGACAGTCATAAAAGAGAAATGCACATGAAAGGGAGGCGGCAGATAAAAGCTTTAACTCGATTACAGCCTGTAAGATTCAGAAAAGTTCTCCACATATTTTCCTCTTTGGCACCGAGAGACATTAGCATTTTGTTTTTCACCGAGGACGAGGGAACTGTTCAGAATGAAGAAGTTGTTTCAAATTCCTCTCATCCCAGTGGATCCCTGAGAGATCCAATTAACGGCACATGGATCCTTCTACCTCGTCGGAGTTCATCACGATAAAGGTGGGAGAACTTTTAAATTGTGGGCCACATTACAGTGAACTGTTTCATTCCGAGTCTGAAAGAAGATGGACCATTAAGCTTCTGAATTACCAGGTTTTAAAAAGCTCACATTTAATTTGATGACTGCATAATTTTGCATTAAGGAACTCAACAGAGGGTGCCACACCGGTGGTGATATTTGAAACTGAGTGCTCCTTATTACCCAGAATTAGCGGACTGTACCAGAGAGTAATATTTTAAACAGTTTCGGGAAGGAAAGGCACGCCTGAGCCGCTGTTATTGATTCAACTAAATGAGCTGATTATGTCACTGATCCCTGAGTCCACTGTGCTTTATTGGAGGAGAAGGTAGACTGAACTCGGCTCATTAATCTACGACACATGCACAAAAGATTTGATTAGTGGTTGAAATTATGTTGAAAGGGGGCATTTCACCCAAAAAACAAAGCTGATTTGTTATGTCGGATCATTTTTGCACTTTTCATTTGAAGTTTTCTGTCGGGTTGCCTTACGTTTCCTTTCTTTTGATGGCAGATAAATAGAATTCAGCTGTTGCTAATTGTATTATTTACACCTGTTCTTTACCTCAAAACGTCATCTGTGAAAAAGGTCAAAGATGTAGATTCGTCACAACTGCAGTCATGAACCTGATTATTTTACATCAAATAAAACAATTCATAGACTGCAACTTTACTTTAACATCAGTGACTTCAGTTAGACTTTAGCCTTTGATTTAAAATGACTCAAACCCAAAAAACAAGTTCCTGAAAACTCATGTTCCTGACAACTTCTATAAAGTTTAAAAGTACTAAATAAAATATCTAATATATTCAGTATTTGTATAATGTCTAGTTACTGACTCTTAATAGTAATGTGCAATGAACAATCCAGTGTTTAACATTTAGGAGGATACTGGCGGAAACTGAATATTCCGGTAACATTCAGAGGCATGTTTTCATTGGTGTATAATCACCTGAATATAGGTTATGTGTTTTTGTTACCTTAGAATCAGCCCTTTTTATCTTCGGACTCTGAGGGTCGCCTTCCATGGAATCCGCCATGTTGAACCACCATTTTTCTACTGTAGCCTAAAAGGGGCAAACCAAACACTGGCTCTAGAGAGGGGCCAACATAGTTTCTTCCTTCAATCAAGCAGAAGATCTTCTGAAAAATTTTACTGGGAGAATTTAGTGAAGAGTGCAACAGTGCAAAGACTTCAGTAGCCCAACACGATAACACAGTGCAGTGCTGAACAACACGTCTCTTAATGCAGTAAGTAAAGTTAGTTTACCCTGCTGTAAGTAATGTTAGTTAAACCCTGCTGGTAAGTAATGTTAGCTTAACCCTGGCAAATGACATACCTTGCTGCTGTTCATTGTATTTCTAACATGTTACTGCGCTCTCTAAAAACTCCTTCCCCTTTTTACATTGCCCACAACATTGTTAGCAAACCACAAATTATGAGCCATGTTTTGCTAATTTTTGTCATTTGGTGCAACTGGTCAACAGGTGTCACTGATTGTTACCATGGAAACATGGCTCTTAGTTGCTAGGGGGTAGGGTGGCTAATACTTAAGGCTTAAAATTTATCACCCTGCATTTTTGTTAACTGTCTAACTTGCATTTGACTAAACTGAGTGCAAAACGAAGACTGGCCTAACATTGCAGATCAGTCTAACATGTTTTTGTAAAACAAATGTTTGGGTTGGACTCTGGACTTCGTAATAGAGCCCTGCACAGACTGCTTTCTGAATCCCACTCATGCACGCTCCCAGTGGATTTGTCCATTACCACCCATTCCAGCAGACAGTCTGACCGTTTACATCTGCACTAGAGAGATATTGTCTTCTCCTGACCTGTAGGTTAAATTACATTATTTTACTGTGTCAGTAACAACTGAGAAAAGTCAGACCTTCTTTGCTGTTCTTTTGTAAAAACCCGCTTTAATATTCTTTTCAACTTAATTTATTGAATCTGTCTCTAAGTTTCTGTTTGGCAGAAACTACACCCCAGGATCCGTAGTTTATTTTTTGACCGCCCAAAGCAAAGTCAAAAAAGATTTGCGTTGGGTCCCTCAGGATCCCAATCCCAACGCAGTCCTCTGTTTCATAGCCAAGACTTAACGGTTACTTGCAAAATCATAATTTCAACCCACAAAATAACCCAATAGTTCATAAGTTGAGCTCAGACATAGGGCCAACACACTGTGATATGCAACAAGGTTAGGTACTTATATTTTTATTGTGATCCTGGTATATGACGAATCCACCAATTTATCCATTTAAAAATTCAAGTAAATAGACAAATGTTCACTTGACAGCCACATCATAACACAGATAGTGGATGTTAAAGGGTATCATGCACATCTTATGGAAATAACAGAGTGCTAAAGATGAAACAGGCCACAGTCAGCAAATACATATGTCATATTCAGTGGGTATAATGAATACACCAAAAAAAGTTTCAAATTGTCAGCTTTTGTCCACATTTATGAAAACAAATAAAAGGCATTGAAATGTGCTGCTGTGTACTGCAGAATAACATGCCAGGAATATGAATACTATACTGAATATTTTACACATAAAGTAAAATATTTCTTTACATATCTACGGTAAATAAGTTTGAGTAAAATTAGGGCAGTGGAGAGTTTATCCTCTCACATATTGAAATAAATAAAAAAAAAACACATTAAACTACTTACAGGAAATTATACATAAACAACAACAACAACAACAACAGATAATTGCCAACCAGGGCTTCACATTAAAATAAATAACATCCAAACACACATTTGTCTCAGGTTCAACACGTTAAGAAATGTTACATTCAGAAATGAGGTCTACAGGTTAGAAGAAGGAAAACAAGAAAGACAGCTCTGCCTGAAGGATGTGAAGATACGATGAAGCACTCATTACATTCACTGATTACAGATTTAGAACTGAACAGAAAATGTCCCTTTCTGTGTAAAGTCAGTGTGGAATTCACAGTCATATCAGCTGATATCTGTTTTATCCAGCATGGTAGTTGTAAGTAATCACCAGTTTATGAAATCTGATCTTTTTGCATAATCGTGTTTCAATTATAACAACAAAAAGCCGGAATGGATAAAAGGATTACAGTGAACCTATCAGCCTAACTATAACTGAGTTGTGGTATCTTGGATCACAATCTAATCTACCTTCATTACCATTAAGCATCGCCCTGCTGCCTGACCACTGACAAAAGATCACCTCTGTGAGTGAATGATAGTTTTGACAGATTTAGACACGTCAAGGTCAGGAGTCAAAACCTAAAGGGATTGAAGTGACAGAACTTCACTATTGCACTAAAATTCAAAAGTCATTACTTGGCACTGAGCAAAGTTTTATTTAAAGATAAATTAAAAGGTCAATCAGTCCAATTCCTTTTGAGGAGTGTGGCTACTATTGGCCAGACTGCCTATGAAATAAAAAAATAGCCTTTTAATCATACAACAAGGAGTTTTTAACTGGTTATTAAACTATAATAGAATATACTGATGCCCCTATGACGTACATACACAAACAAGACCATCAGAGAGAAGGATCGACTATTTCTATGTCGTTATTCCTAATATTTTATATAGATTGGGATCCGGTTCAGTCGGATTCCCCTTGAAATCAATGAAACGAGGCAGCAGTAACACTACTACTGTTGTCCACAGGGGCCGCCAGAATTGACACAAATCAAATTTGACTTTTTCCTATAGATTTAAAACCTTTAATGGACTCCTTGTGGCTCCGCAACTAGAGGGGATATCTACATATTAAAAACTGAAATGCCAAGCAAAGAGAGAAGAGAATCTAAACTTTATCATAATTTTAAAAATATGGAAATGTTACACATCGAAATAGAAATAAGGCTGGGAAAGTGGCCCTAAATACATCAAGTCTTAGTAAGTTCTGAAAGAAATTGAAATAAAGAAAAGTCTACAATCATTATAGACAATCAATCAATACTAGTAACCTATAAAGATACTGCATTCAATGTCAGGACAGCACATGTAGGCCAATAAACTAAAGTGAAATGCAATTCTTTCTGTTGACAATATTTTTGGGGGATTTTCAAGTTTGGGCTCGGACTACATGCCCATTTCCAAAACAATCCAAAGATAGATCTTGTGCTTTCCTCAAAACTAACAACTGGGCAGAAATTAAAAGTAATAAATATGATGATCATAATTTAAAAACAAAAACAAAAAAACATTTCGACCATCTCATAACAATCAAGTCTGCCATTTTTCAGACAAATTACACAAACACACAGAAGATGACAGCAAAAGGAAAACAAATGTGCAAAATGCTGTTTGAAGAAGACAAGGCTGTTTTTATAAAGGATCTTAGTGCTGGAATCATCGTTGTTCCATTCAACAAAGGGGGAAACTGAAGGCAATATTTTTAGTTTTTCTTCGTAAAGGAGGTGAAAGTGTTTACATTTTTCAATTTAGCCACAATGGCTTGTTAGCATTTGGGCTCAATATTGAACATCTGTACATAAAAGGTTTTGTATGGCCACTTGTGTTTAGACAACCTTTTAAACTTTCATTTATTTTCTTTAACAAGGCAGTATTCCTGAATGAAAATACCTCTAAAATTTGATTTTGGATTTGGTTGGCAAGATAAAATGCCTGCTGACATACAATGATAAGAGAACTAAAACACTTTGTGAAAACGAGCCTCAGATCCTCCTCAAAGACACAGCTACAAAATAACCAAAAGTTAAAGGCAGTGTTGCAACATTTTAAGGCAATGTAGAAGAGCAACTATATCAACAATACTGCACACCAACACTGCCTTAAAATGCTGTTCATGTCTATTCACCTTTAGGGCAGAGACAGTAGTGTCCAAGAAACCTCCTAAAGCATTGCTGCTTCCATTACAGAATATCCTAATAGGTTGTTTTACTTTGTTGCCTCTTTCTGTGCCCAAAATGTGCCCTTACAGTACTGTGAAACTGGAACAGTTAGAAAAGAACCAACAAGCCAGCTTGTCAGCCTCCTCCACAATGCCCTCAGCCAAAAGAGCCCCATACCTGAGAAAGAGAGAAGAATACTGTTTTCGTACTCTCCTACTTCTCTCCTTCCATTTTTTCCAAGCAGATCTCTCTCTCCGTCTGCTGTGTGCTTTATGTGTGTGGTATCAGAAAAAAGGGGAGTAGTTTATAAACTTTGATCCAAATAAATGATATAGCTAACTGTAGCCTGTGCTAGGACACAGGACATCTCTTGCAGAGCCATATTTGATTTGTCCATAAGTCAACTCTTTTGTGGATCACTAAACTCATTTTCCTACTTCTGGCACATCTAAAAACAAACCTCTTCATCCTTTTAATGTGTCATTTTTTGACAAATTGCTCCTGTATATTGGCAAAAGAATAAGTGTCCCTGATCACATAGCTGATGACTTCAACAACAGCAGCTGCCCCTGGTACTCTGGACTCCCTGTGGAGCCACACTACAACCAATAAACCAAGACAAGCCAGTGCAACCTGCCCACATGACCATCACTGCTCTAACGTGGCGCCGGCTGAAACTCCTGTCTATCATTCAACCAATTAAAAAGGGGCTGAACGTCTGTTACCTGAACCCATTAATGGGGCTTGGACTCAATCCTGTCCTCCACTTGCTCAACTAGCATAAGACAGGATCAGACTCCTTTAGGACTTAAGAGAGGCGCATATCCCAGAATTCCACACTGTGTGGGACTCTTGCCGAAACACAAAAATCCTCCAAGTTTAGAAGTAGTCAACCCAAATCTTCTCTCTCTGCAGACTCATTTGTGGATCTTCCAGTTCCTGAGGAGGTGAAGCTTCCAGCTTAGGGGGGTCAGAGAGGAGGTGGGTAGGTGGACAGGTTGGAGCTGCCCCCTAAAGGAGGAGGAGGAGAAGGAGGAAGAGGAGGAGGAGGAGGCCTGTAGGAACCTTCCTGGCCACACCCTGCCCTCTGCCACCCATGCCTTCAGACCAGCAGCTGCAGACAGATAACCTGCAGAGGATCACAGATTAGGTCTTTAAAGGCAGCACCAAACGGAGGCAAAAAACACTACATTTAATAACACCATAATGAACTGTTGCCACACTGCGAAGTGAGATGAAATGTTGCTGGAAATGAAGGGTTAAATTACATGAGGAGGAGATAATAATGTGAAGTACATTCCTACAAACACAAATCATACAGGGTTGCACACAACTAAGGAGTATTTGCCAGCTCCCTACACACACACTGTATGTCCATATTATTCATCTGCACTTATTTACAGATTAGTTTGCCTCTTTGCCCTGTTAGATCTGATAAAAAGTCTGAGAATATTTCAAAGCTAAGGGTTCTGAATTAAGTTCATAAGGTTCAGAAAATACCTAAAAACCATATATTACATGAACCATGAATCTAATTCTGAGAAAAATTATTTTAACTAGGTTTTTTTTTCAGACGTTTCATGCTTTACCAGCACTACAATTCTTTAAAATTCAACCTCCATTCTACTTTTCCACATTGTACTTACATTACACCTCAGAACACGCCACAATCCAAATCCGATCTATACATAACCTGCTTGTACTGAGAAATGCAACGCGCAATCTATTTATTGAACTATTTCAGATGTATGTATAGAATGGCATCTTGAATGTTTCTGCTCCTTTGTAATGTTAGATGTTAGAGACAACGTACGGTACCTCTGTTGCCTTTCCATGCACAGACAGCAGGCAGAGTGTGAGCCTCACTCCTGGAGCTCTGTCAGAGCCACACAGCATGCAGCTCTATCATCCTTACTCTGGGCAGGACCGTCGACTCCGCCACCAGTCGTCATGCTGCGGCTGCGACTGGTCAGCTTCTTCAGCTCGCTGGCGAAGGAAATTACCTTTTTTTTGTCTTCCCGCACCACCTGGAAGCAGAAACCGATTTACGTCGCTAAAATACATAAAGAACAATGTGTGTAGTTTTGAGATACAAGCTGACCAACCATACATTTAATCCTTTTTTTCATCCTTCATGGTTCCTTTTTTACTCAAGAATTAAAGTGCTTCAGTGATTCGTCATACCCTTTTCTTCACTCATTCTGTCCTAATTATGTAAAAAGAAAAAAACACTAAACATAACTTAAAAACTCATTTAACATTTATTTAACAAGGCAGCTCATTTAAACACATTCTTATTTACAAATGTGTCAGCACTAAAGCCCTTGAGTGTAAAAGGATAGTTCATAAATAAAATAAATACTGGCACACATACAACATATAAAAAAACATTAGAATGAGATAGGCAGACGAAACTTCATCACAAACTCAGCAACAAAGCACAGACAAGTTACAAACAAGGCAAGCAGCGACAGGTTAAAAGCACATACAGGTGTTAAAATACAATGGCAAACACACAACATGGATTAATTGAGATGTGAATGAACAGTGTGTTAAAGAAAGAGTTACAAGCACATACAGTAAAAAAAAGTACAGGAACAAGCTCAAAGGAGTGACACAATGCACATAAATATAAAATAAGAATGCGGAAAATAAAAACTAAGAAGTCTCTAGCATTAAAAAATCATTCGGCACATTTAGAGCTACCTGCTCTTTGAGTTTAAGAATGAACTTTCCCGCGCCCCGCCAGCGGCTCTGAGCTTGATAGACACACTCGTGATCCAGCAGCACTCGCTGCAGGGGCTTGGCGGTGGAGGACTTCTTAGAGCCAGCGTCCTTTGTCACTTCCTCCATCAGGACATAGTCACATGGGTTGGGGTTTGATAGGATACTGTAGGAATACTTGGCCTTTGACAGAGTCTGGCCAAGACAGAGAGTGTATAAGAAACAAATGAAGCCAAGTACAAGTCTTGCAAAGTTATTATTTATGTTGTGTATTCTTGACCCTCCTCACCTGCTGTATGATGTCCTGAGCAGTGCTGTAGCGTGGGGCCTTGATCACAGTATGAGGCTGCTCTGGTGAAACTTCATGGACCTGGACAAAGAACATATCTTCCTCTGCTGCTCCTCCTCCTCCTCCTGCTCCTTCTCTTCCTCCCACAGTCACCTCCTCCTCTCCCTCCAGTGCTGTGTTCTTCTCATTTAAGTTCTGCAAGAACAAACCATGTAGTAAGAGTTTTTCATTTTAATTTGTTTTGGATTTTTGTTTTCAATTCAGTTCAGTTTCAGTTAGTTTCCAGAGTGGACATTTACTGTATATTGTATTTTAGATACTTTTGTAAATACACAATATTGTTTCAGTTTTTCTATAAAATCTAGTTTTTCATTTGTATTTCAGTTAAAGAAATTTTAGTTTTAGTTTTTAGTTTAGTGTTTGTTAACTAATAACCTTGAGCAGAATCCTAGATGTAAACCAGCACTTGATGTCTGACGCAAGTAAATGTTTAAAAAAACATTTCTACCTGAATTTCTACTAAATAAGTATGTGTTTATAGTTTATAGCACGGCTGCTGTTCCTCATATAATAGTGTGAGGTGTGAGGTTTAACTGACTTATACAAGACAAACACAAGGGGGAGCCGTAGTCTAAATAACAACTTGTGTGTATGGAGTGCTTTTTCTGGTAGTAATGATAGGTAGCAGTAATTTAATAACAGTTAAAGAGGTAATAACCGGTAATATTAAACATAAACACATTGACGGTTAAGTTTTCCAAATCATTCAACATGTCAGATTAAACTCAGTTAATACTAAAATAAAAACACACAGCTCCTTGTTACTGATGGCAGTTTGAATGTAGGTGTTTGTGCTCTCTGTGTGTACCTCCTCTCTGCTTTTGAGGCAGATCCTTCCCACATATCCCTCCTCAGTGTTCCAGCTAGAGACCAGTCTGACCATCTCCTCCTCGTGTGCAAGAGCACGATGCTGAGGACAGCGCTTCACCTCACTGCGCTCCTTCAGCAGAGGAACCTTCTCCTCGCACAGGAAGTACTCCGATGGGTTTCCCGAAGATGCGACGACCTGTGGGGGAAGTAAGAGGAGAAACCTTGTGTGAAGAATGAAAAATCCCCAAGAGATGAATAAAAATCTCTATTTCTGAAGTACTAACTGTGTCTAGCAGCTGTTTGGCGGTCGTCTGTTCGGTGATACAGAACACAGTGAAGGGTTCAGGACCAGGAGCTCCATACACCGTCACCCTGTGCTGCTGCGACAAATGTTTCTCCTCTGAACTGAACAGCTGCGTAGAGAGCACGAGCACTTTATTCAACATTCTCTCTTGCTTTCTCCTTAGAGAGCACATTTTGCATTGCCATCTACTGTATTTCAAATATTACAAAAGCTGACGTTTTTAAAGGAGCAGTTTTAACCACCACAGAGCTTAAGTCTTACCAGTGATGAGGGAGTAGCGCCCCCTGTGGGACCTTCCTCTGTTCTGTGGCTGTAGATAAACAAGCTCGACACTTCGAGAGGTTCATTGTGTTGTGTCCTCAACTGCACATGTCTGTAACCTGAAACAGGACAAGAAAAAATATTTTGACGACACATAAAGCGACAATGTTTTTCCACTGGCACATGAAAAGACACAGGCCTCTGTTCGTGTCGAGTTGGATGTTTGAGCTTCACTGCACAGAATGATGTATGTGCAGAGTTAACGCTAGAAGGATGTTTTCACATTCATCCTCTGAAACTAGAAAGTTGTTCTGTGCTCTGATTTTAAGGGGTGGGCTCTACAAGCATTATTTATGATATCACAAATAGTTTGGAAGTCAATTCTGGTCCAGTATGCAACTTATAGAAGTGGGATGTAGAAACATAGAGCCACCAGTGAACAGACACTTAGAACTGACTTTACAGTGAAGTAGGGACATCTTGTGTCCAGCAGGAAAACTTCAGAAATGAACAAAACTTGCATATTCATACAGTAGCATCTGGAAATTTGAATGAAGTAGAAAAGAAGATGCTTTTTTAAAAAGGTTTTTAATGTGGAATCAGACACATATTACTGTTCCAAGCAGACTATTTGTATGTGTCTTAAAAAATGTTGGAGAGGGGATCTTTAAACATGCTTCTTTTGCATGTTTACAGGTGCTCTTGCAGACTCAAATACTACAAATTCCCATCAACAACTTATATCTGTCCCATCTGGTGTGTGTGAGGCTCCTACCTGGCTTGAGGGCCTTAAGAGGCAGAGTTCTCTGAGCAGTAGTCTGAGAACTGTTGTTCTCCACGACAGCGAAGCGCAAGAAGCACATCTCTTCAAAGTGCACGGTGAACTGAAAGTGCTCATGCCACATGGGGTTGAGGGTGTTGCGGTGGATGGGTTTGGTGCGGAAGTGGCAGCTGTCAATGGGCATGCCCAGAATGTCCACCTCGAGGCAGGGGCTGCCGGCGCTGTTTCCAGGACAGACGTTCTGACCAGAGACAATCTGAGAGAAGACAGAGAGGGGGGTGATGAGTAACAATCGTCACACCATGTTTGAACACTTGCAATTAAGATTCTTGACTATCACTAAAACAAGCTTATTTTTTGTTTATTTGATGAAGCAGGCTAGTGGAGCCAAACAACAGTCAGTGAAGTCACTTTGACCTGCCAACAAAGACCGTAATTCACCTTCTTTGAGTCTCACACTCTCTCTCACACTCTCTCTCCACCACCTCTCTCTCACAACTCTCACACACAACTCTCACACACACTCTCCACACAAACACTCTCACAACACACTGCTCACAAACACCTATCACACACCTCTCACACTCTCACACACACTCTCACACACACAGGTTTTATGAGTGTGAGATCATCCCTGTTTATATTGCTGGTTGTACCAGATCAGTGTTTATGCTGCTTCTGAGAGCATGAGAGCAGATAATCAAGAACGTTGGTGGATAAACAATTGGCTCAGAATCTTCATCACAATTAAATGTCTAAATGTCCACAAAAAATGTGCAACGAGTGACGAAAGTGCGCATACAGAACAATAAATACAGACAGTGGACATATTGCAATGCAGAGCTAGTATGAGGTCCTGTTCTTATTCAGTTATATGGAATTAACTGGGTGGCCTTCATGACTGACAAATAATGAAAGCGCATACAGACCACTTCACAATAAAACTGTCAAAACATACCTTAATGGATCTAATATGAGTATTTAGGAGTGTGTGTTTGAGTGTCCAGCCATAATGTCTGTGCAGGTATGCTAATAAAGGATGTAAAACAGGGCATAGAAAGATATCAACAGCTTGACAAAAGATTAATCAAATATTGCGGATCCTTTTTTAAAAATCTGCATTTACAATTTAGTTATTGTCAAAAATTGAGATGGACAGTGTGAAAGGGGTAAGTAGGAAAATATACAAATTGGCCAAAGTGAGGATGAAAATGCAGAGGACAAACTATTAAGGATGAAGTAGTCTTCCTTGACTAATCTTCCATTCTGCTCCATATGTCATCTCAACTCACAGTGAGGGAATAGACGGCGGGGCTCATTTTCTCCACGTCCCTCTCCATCGGACAGAACTGCTGATAGAGCGGACAGCTGCGGTCCCACAGCACCGCCGGCTTCAGGACGTAGCCACAGCCACCGTTGGCCTCAAACAAAGCTGTGTTCAACTGCATTGGCAGGTCTGCGAAGGAAAGAAAGAGGGAGGAGAAAATGGAATGAGCTAATAGTATCAAACAAAATCTGATACCTTGTGGACTTTAGCAAAAGACGTATTACAAATAATCGTTATCCAGTTTGAGTATTAAATAGCTGCAGCGATTTTCCCTGTCTGACCCATTTGAATTGTGAGTGTCCTATAAACAAAACTTGCATGTCTGAGTGCATGTAAGTGTCAACTGGGTTATCATGTTTTGTAAACTTTGATTCCAAATGGAAAAAAAAAAAAAATTTAAGAATCAGAGATAGAGAAAATATGCTTGGGGGAGTGAAATAGAGAATGATCAAAAGGGAATACGACAGAGGAGGAGAAGATATTTTTCAATTTAATATGTTGTTGTAGTTCTATCAGAACTGTCTTCATTAGAAGAGAGAGAAAAGACAAAGACAGAGAGAGAGGATTAAGAAGAAAAGGAGAGAAAAACAAGCAGTGGAGCACCTTGGGATCAACAATACCTTAAAAAGATAAGAGATAACTTTATCTGTAACTTTTCAAAGATATAACAGACAAACTCTTCATATAGTCTCACCAAACATAATCTTGCGTTGACTCACGCAGCATTTCTTCCAACCAATTTCAAGGCTTTGCAAGGTTGTAAAAAGCAAACATCATCATGCAGAAGATGCCTCAGAGTTGTTTTTACAGCATCACAAAGGAGGAAGAGGACAGAGTACAATAGAATCTACTCTTTGTCATCTCTCCTTTGTCTTTCACTGACTACGATTTGGCCATCCTCACCATCAGTCTGATAGTTGAGTGCCACCAGCTGAATGCCGTGCAGCCAGAACAGCAGAGGGTTTGGGTTTGTTGAGTCGATCCTGGTGGCTGCTGGGTAAGTCCTGAGCAGCTGGCACGCCGTGTGCTCGATCAGCTTCTGAGAGTAACGCCGGCACAGGCGCTTGGCGGCGTTCTCGTTGACGGAGGAGATGTGGTAGCATTTGGGCGTACGGATGATGGCACTGAGAGAGGTCGGGGGGTTGAGGATGGGAGACGTCTGCTGCTCCTCCCAGCTCAGCCGCTCAGCTCCACCTAGACGGAGAAAGATGATTAAAGGTTTCCTCAATCAGCTTCTTAGTTTGAGTGATGTGGTCCTACATAAGACAAAGAAGAGCGCTGAATCAGTAATCTGTGAACTTTTCCCCTCTAAAATTGGTATCTCGAAAAAAAATATCAGTTGGGCTCTATTAAATCTTGGATCTTAAAATCTTTAGGAGTATTTACTACTGTATTCTGGTACTTGGCAGCTCATATTTCATTGATAACTCCAAAATATTATTTAAGAGTAGGAAAAGGAACATGGACTTTAACATTACAGACTTTCCTGGCAACAATAGTAAGAACTATGTCAGTATTTAGTTTTTCACAACATGACATTTGGAACAATACTAAAATCATTTACAGGCTTCAATTCTTTGGTTCACATACTCCCATAAATGATAACAAATGCTCTTAATATTGTGAATCCTGCTAAGGTGTCTAACTAGAAATTATCCTAATGTATCACTTCTAACCTATTTAGCAGCTTGTCCAATTAAATTCTCTACATTTAGTTGCTTCCATTTTAGTCTGCAACTTTTAATCTACTTAGATGGATTACATACACATGTTTTAAGTGGGAGTCCTGTATTGGCTTTCTTACGTATTCAAATGCACGTCCACCCAGTCTTCCTCAATCACATCTAAATTTTTCTAACTATATCTCTGGAACACAGATACACATGGAAACAAAAAGACATATATTCTATCTTTTCCACATACACACATACAAACAATTACCACCCCTTGGCCCTGCGTACCTTTCCCAGGGGTGCGGCTCTGGGTCGTGACCTCCCCTGTTGTGCAGCGTGCAGGAGCTGTGCCAAATATGGACTTTCTGCTCTTTCCCCGGTCCTTTCCTCTGCCAGACCCAGCTGGAGACAGTGTGGACAGGCCTGTTTTCCCACAAACAAAAAGAGGCAGACAGAAGAAAGTGGTCAATAATGCAGCGCAGACAGGCTGGAGACAACACACTCATGACAGCAGCATCTCTCTCAATTAGTTTCTCAAATTCCAGAAATAATTTTCTTTAAATGCTGTCACTTTATATCATAATAAGGAAGTTGGTCTTCTCCCTCCTCGGCATCACTCAAAGTGCATTTTTCAAGCTTAAAGCTAATAGAAATTATTTTAGGTTGTGTATTATTTGCAGAATAGTTAGCAAAATATGTTTTTGCCTTTTTTGCTGTAAACATCCATAAGAATTTGCCTTAAAATGTGTAGAATAACATGGAAAATGCAGTATATAAACATATAGAAGCTTCCAGTCTTCTTTGAAAAGGTCTTGTTTGTTAATCATAATAAAACAAATTAAATTAAAGTAATTTAATCAATGATTTAATAATGCAAAATGCTGCATGTAACAAATTTAAATACTGCAATTCTTGAGCCATTTCTTATTTGGTGTCAAATTCCATCTCCTTTCTAAAGAAATATTTGAGATGAGAAATGTGCCAAGCATTTTCTGAATGGCAAGAATTTTTAAGAAGATTTAAATGTTTGCAGAAAGGTTTTTAGAACTAACATGTCTGTCTGCAACCACTTCAGACAGCAGTAACCAGTCTGCTGTCTGTCTGGACTGGACTACATGCCCCTTTTTTTTTTTTTTTCCTTTCTTAGATCTCAGGTTCCTGGAAACAGTAAACAAATAAAAATACCAAGTGGAAACACAGGAAGGTTTATAAGGGCAAGTGTCATGTAAATAAAAGAGGACACAAACAGAGAAGAGGACACTTAAAGGAGGAAAGAGGAGATAAGAGGCTGATGTTTAAGGGACAAAAAGAAATAATTGAGACAAATGGTAGCAAGGAATGTAGAGAGATCCCCATAAAGAGAAAATAGGAGGAGAATTTTCTTGTATTTAAATTTTCTAATTTTAACCATTTTCAATTATGACACAGCAGCTTATAGCAAAATAGTTAAAACTGAAAGAAAGAGGGGACAAATGTGTCGAAGGCATACTAACTATTCTCCAGGACATCCCGCCAACATTAATTTACAGTATATAAAACAACTCTGCTGTTGTTGTGCTGCTCTGGGACTGACAACACAATGGAGTAACCTTATCTCTCCCATGGGGGAGAAAAGGATTCATCATCTTAGTGGGTGTCCTGTGTGGGAGAGAAATGGAGTGTAACACTGGGATATTAAATGTCTTGCAATGAAAAAATGTAGAAAACACGGGGAAAGGTTTGACCTTTTAAATATAACATGGGAGTGGATTAAAGGGGGACAAGACAGAAAAAGGAGATAATGACAGCATGTCAGACGTAAAAGGAGAGAGAGTGGAAGAAAGATTTTGACAGAGAATAAATCACTTTGCGCTGGGAAAAGAATCGGTGTAGGACAGAAATAAAAGAAATGTATATGGAAATGAAAAGTAAGGAAAGACTGTGTGTGACAAAGACATCGAAGTATTCTCTACCAGGGAATTTCACAGCCTGGCAGTAGATGATGAGGTCGGACAGCTCCTGGGCAATCTGTCGACTCTCCTTCTTGTTCTGAGGAAGGTAAAACTCCTCGCCCAGCTCCATGTCAAACACCTACATTTGCAGGTAGAGACAGAACAAGGAAAACTTGGTTTAACCTGAAGAGACAGTGATGTACTATTGGAGCAGGGTTGAACTTCACATATACAGAGTATTATCTTTTTTTTTAAACCAATTTCTGTTCACTGACACATGTTTTCATGTCTTGGATTTATCCGCCAGTAAAATAGTAAATAAAACCAAAATAAATTACTCATAAGCACTGGCTTGAATCTGAAAAGCCAAAATACTCACTTACACAGAGTAGCTATTATATACCTTAATACTGTTCAGTTTACTACTGTAGTCCCTCACCTTTCCTTTGCTCTGTGTAGTGCTATCAGACTTCTTCATCCTCTTCGGTATTTCATCAACAGGTTGCTCTTCTTTGTCTGCTGAGCTCTTCCCCTCTGGCTTATCATCCAGGATGTTATCTATGAAGAACAGATATAGTGAATTATAGTAACTTCCAGGTGTTAATAGGCAGCAGAATGGCTCACACAGAGCACACATCCTCAAAAACAATCATTTTGAACCATATACAAAGTGCAATAAATATTGATGTAGTTTTTCCTTCACAAAATGTGAGGATTTGGTGCTTGTATCTATTTTATAAAATCTTAAATTCAAATGTTTTACGGGTTTTAGACTGTTGGTCGAACAAAGCGAGTGATCTGAAAATGCCTATAGAGACATAAGTCAAAAATATAAGTAAATACATTCCTAAGTAATAGTTAATTAAATATAAAAAATAAAAATGTAAAAATAAAAAACTGGTCTGATGAAGATCCAGCCTGGATTTAAAATGTCTTTGCTAAATAGAAATTGTGCATTGGATTTGGTGTGACAGTTGCTCTTGATATACTGTATGTTAAATCACCAGAAAGACATGTATATCAGAAGAAGTAAATTTAGCTTCTGGGAATCTTACTTCTTATAAAAACAAATGCTGACATTGCATTTCAAGAGGAGTTGGGTTTTTTCTTGTTATTTTAATATAATCAGAGCAATGGTGATCCCTAGAGTTCATTCAAACTTAAATGTACTTTTGCATTAACTTCAGCATTCAGCCATAGAGGACTGCAGGTGGGGACAATTACAGAATAATTGTAAAGGGAAAAAGCTGTTATCTGTATCCCTAAGTACTTGCAGATCCCATGAGCATATTCCCAAGCCAAACCCCCACAAAAGCCCATCCCTATTGATATTCAAAGCAATGTCTATCAACTGTAAACAGGAGCAACAGTAGGGAGCTTCCCTTTGCTCCCATTCCTCCTACACATCCAGCATAGCCAAAAAAACATATCAGCTTGAAAATGCAGAAGCTTTTTATCACAGAGAACTTGTTTAATTCCTGACATTTGGAATCTCTTCATTTCAAAAGGGTTTGGCAACAGAGTTGACCCTGAATGTCATCCTGGAGACAGTAGCCAGAGAAGTGAGTTGGACCAGACTGTTAAACAAGAGATGGTCGCAACTTGGCAGTTTAGCGGCAAGTTGTTGTATTTACTGGTGCAGCTGATGTTAAGTTCAAGCATGTAGGGCATAATGGACACTGTCCATGGTGGAGTGTGGTTTATTTAGCCAGGGATGTCTTGCTAGCTGTCTGATTTCAGTAAAAAAAAAAAAGGGGGAGAGTATCAAATTGAAACCACTCTATGAGGTTTTGATTATCAAAATGGTTTTTGAAAGGTCTATGGGACAAGCAGAGGGCAAGGATTAGGAGAGAGCAGTGCTGGGACTGGGACCGGGACAGGGTAGTTTCCCCTGGTCTGTTGTTTAGTGTGGGGGCAGCGTAGGGCCTGAGAAACCAGATGGCTTTGTTTTGTTTCCCTGATGAGCCTGCCCAGCCACTGGCGAGGTCACAGACAAATACAGTACGAAGAGGAGGAGGAAGGGAGGTGATGTGTTTGTGGGAGAAGAGAAATCATGAAGACAGCATATTGTTAAAACACTGACTAAAAAATCTTCCTCTTTTTTTGCCATTCATAATTGAATATGTTTCAGCAACAGTCAATCTAGAGGTAGACAGTATGGTCCCATACTGCTCTGACTCTGAGTTTTCTAAATAGTTCCTCTGGAAGGTTGTTAAATAGTGTGGCGGCTATACGCAAAACGTCTAAAACATACGTAACAAGCAGGCCAAACACAAAGACACACAAACACAAGCATGATTACTATTAAAAAATAATATTCAGGTTATTCTAAACACAGTGTTCATAGTGATAGAATCTGATTTAGAATAAAAGTCATTTTGGATGATGGATACACAGGATGCCTATTGTTAAAGTCACTTCCATTGGCACACTGCACATGAAAAACTGCTGTAGCAAGCTGGGAGTTAAGGACACTTGTTGTATTACTGCAATAACATAATGGAGATAAAACAAGTGTACATCATAACAAACACTCCTGATGTCACAAACCACCCGCTGTTAGCACTTTAGTAGTGATAAATATGCTCTGATGGCACCCTGCTGAGATTCTAAAACCATTTGTTTGTTAGGGCAATTACAAAGTAGAGTCTTAAATTCTGAGCTCTTGTCACACATGGTTGTCCTTATTTTACTGGGTCCAGTGGAGCGTGAGGGAGGATGTCTTGTAACAGAGGTCATCAGTTTAAGCCCTCAGTGTTAACACATCTCAAACTGTCAAACAACACAACTTCCAGAATATTTTATCCAAACGGATTGGATGAAATTCCTATAAGTTGCTTAACTGCTGCTTACCATGCAGATAGACAGATAGCTACAGCACAGACCTGACATCCATAAACAGCAGAAAGCTAGCAGCTATCACAGTATGCGGCACACGCAGGAATCAGTCTCCAGCAATGATGCAGATCACTAGTGCACGACTACATACTAGTGTTTCCTCTGTAGTTGTTTTGCAGTGGTAGACAAACACAGCAAGAAAAGATACCATAATTTGCAAAAGGTATCCCACAATTTCCCCTTAAAACTCAACTGTAGGATCTGTATTTAAATGTAGCATTTTAAGAAGCCGTTTTAAGATACTAATAATGCTGGTCAAAAGGAATCAGCGAAAGACCACCAGCTACCACCGCAAAACAAAATTAGATGGAAACACTGGTACATAGAGTGACGCATCAGAGCCGTGCATTTACCTTCCAGGCCATATGAGGCAGTAGAGGCTGTGAGGACATCAGCTAAGTGGAAAACAGGCAAGATAAAATAAGAAAGGAAAGGAGTGAGAACAGAATGTGAACAGAAATAGAGACTTAAGAGTTAAAAAAAAACAGGGACAGAATAAAGGTTTAAACAGAAACGGATTCAAGGCTTACAACATAAGAACCAACATATATTTATGTGCTATTTTATACTGAGAATCTTGTAGGTCCGTTCAGTTTTTTTGTCAGTTTTGTGCACTTGAAGTGTTTTCTTCTCCTTGCAGTTCTCCTTACCATCTGATAAAGATTCATAGTCATAGTCGTACTCGTCTTCTTCCTCTTCCTCTTCCTCATTGGTGTGGTTGCCAGGCGAAGTAACCCCTGGTGCCCCATTGCTAGCCTGGGCCTGCATGTGGGCCAGCTGGTGAGCCTGTGAAAGGGTGAAAATATTATAACAAGTGTTACAACTTAGTTGTAAGTGCATGTAAAAAACTGTGTGTGAGAAGAACTCATATTTACAAAGATATACCTGTATCTGACCAAAGATCTATATCTGCCCATTACCTGTAAATATACAAGCTCTTATCTGCAGAGATAAAAGTGTGTATACTGAAGCACATTATGTGTGCTAGGTAAAACTGACTGAAAATGGTGTGATGGACACATTAGCATCTATTATTTATGTGTGACAGCACTCTAACAAACAGTGTTAAATATTAAATGCACTAATGCTACCTGAAAAGCCTTTTGAAGGATGGCTTATATGAAATATAAATTATTTACATGTTTTTATATGTGTATGTTTGGACAGGATGTCTTGCTTTCTTCTCAAACCTTCTGTTTGAGTATGTCCACTGGTGCCTGGTGGGCTTTGAGCTTCTTGTTCTTGAGGAGGATCCTCCCCCGTAGTTGCAGCGGTGACGGCAGGTGCGGGTCATCGCTGAAGTCACTTTCAAATAGGAAGCGTGTAACGAGACGTTCCCCAAACACTGTCTAATGAATAAATATTCAAATGTGACAGACGTCAATAAAACGCGTCCAATAATGTGACCAGAATGTAATGTCAAGTGAGAGGAGGAGAGGGAAATCAAACTGCTTTTATCAACACAAAACAACATTGCAAATAAACAAGCCCGTGGTGACATAATCTGGCCAGAGGCACAGAGCTATCTAAACATGAAAGAGCTTTCTTTATCAAGCCACTCAGAAGTCAGTCTCTAGGGAGGATACGGATGCTGGGAAGTTTTGTTAGATAAAAGTACGATGATATTCCATGATGTATCTGTCATGCCCAAATATGAGTGGCCTTTAGAGTATAACTTAAAAAAGAAGAAGAAAGGGACAGTTGTAGCCTGGAGATTAGAAAAGCAAGCCTCTGGATGGAAGTCTGCCAGTTCAAATGCCCACGGCAGCTGAGAAAATCTGGAAAAACGAGTACTATCCTTACTCGAAATCCCACTGAGGAAAACATGTGTGGTTGTACTAGAAACTTCACTACTTGAAGGTGTAGGTGCATGTAAATCCCGAAATATAAAGCATGGAATTGCTAAAGAAGGAGCATGTTTGCTTATATAAACTCAAGTTTTCAGTCTATAACATCAGAAACAAATAAACCACACATGGAAAAATACTATACTATAGATGACTATAGATGATAAGACAAGTCATATCTTGTATATTTCATGCAATGTCTAAATTTCAGACATCTTGTAGCTGCTGTCATACCTTGAAGATTTCAGCCATCTTGCGTTGCTGTGGGAGGGAGCAGTGGTTCTCTATGGACAGGATGACGGGCATGTCAGAATTGACGAATGCAGACCGGTTAACTGCTTCCACCACATCCTGGAGGACCATGGGAGAGATTCAATTCTTAGAAACAGCACTCCAACTTAAACAAGGGACAATAAATCTCTATGAAAACCCATACTAATGACATCTACTGAATCAGCCCTTACATACAACATCAAATAAAATACAGGTGTTTGAGGGCTCTGATTAGTTCAACTCTGATTACATAAACCATGCAAGGAGGTATTGGAGCAGAAAGCAAGGTGAGCCAGTCACTGATTAGATTATTAATATGCATATCTAACCTTAAAGGGAATCTTAGTGGTGAGAGTGTGTCCGTGGTAAATAACTGGCATGCCGTCGTCGCCATCCCAACAGTCCAATTCGACGCTCCTGCAGCCTTGCAGTAGCACCTGGTGAAAAATGACATATTATGATCAGACACAAACATACAGTATAGGAGCTATGGGTCACAGAAGTGGTTTCAAGTAGGACAGATGGCTCACTTACCTGACTGTAAAGCTCAACAGAGGACTCTCCTTTGAGCTGGTGTCCAGTCAGATAGGTGTTGTGAGAAGACTCAATGTAGTAGTAGGACAGAGGATACTGCAGCTCCTCCGGGTTAATCTGGGATTCCTCAATACGGGAAGCAAAGTTCTCCTTATCCATCAGGAACCTGGTGTGGAGATTGGGATGGTTAGATAACAAGACACAAGGCTGATTATAAATAGTATTTTTGAAAATTTTTACTCTACCTTGCAAAGCCTTCAAATGACATCCAACCCATTTGTCTCATGCTTGATGAGGGCTCAAATTTCTGCAAGAGAAAAGCAAGAAATAATGAATTACCATTATTGATCGAAAGTTAATTTTCCTTCCTCGTATCTCAGGTTTCCTTTATTCTTATTTTATTCATTTTGCTACAGTATATGTCCTCCATTTCCACCATCCAGTTCATGTTAAAAACACTTTTTAAGTACTGTCCTTCCCGGCTCCAGACTCCTACCTGTATAATGCTGAGAATCTCATCGTAGCTGAGGTGCTCTCTCTGGCAGGTAATAAGGAAGTCGTTGAGCTGAGGAATAGCCAGACCCAAGACGCCTAGTGATGCGTTTTCCACTCCTGTCCCATTGGTCACAATGCTGGCTGCTGCAATGGCGTCTGAGATCTGCTTCTGGTTGTCAGACATCTGCTGCCTCGTTCGGATAAACAGGCCAAGATCAGAGCCGTTGCGGGTTAACAAGTCTGGGAAGGAGAGGATGAGGTTAGGCAAGAGGGAGGGCTGACAATATATAAATTAATCTTACTGTTTGATCTTTTACCGAGGTCCGGCTGTAGCCCTGAGTCTTTGTCGTCTATCCTGAGGTTGGTGTAGAGAGGAGCAGACTCTGGACTTGAACGGCTGCAGGGGACGGCAAAGGTGTCAAACAGCTCTTTAAGGTCCTTCCTGCTTCGGATACTGTGGAGGAGACGACACATAGCAGAACATCGTTCCATTTTAGCAACTGAAAAGCAACTGAAAAGCAGTTTTTTGGGGGATACACCACAGACACATATGTGCAGAAGCATTGTGTTAGATCAGCAGACCAAAAGCTTTGCTGAAGACTAAATGAAGGTGATCTTTTCAGAGTACATACATTCAACTACATCTACATGGCCAAATGAAAAGACATTTATAGACTTTCATTCAACAAATATCTTCTATACGTTGCAACATTTGGTTTCAATGCAGGCATCCCTTTACAAGCTCTTCTCACTGTTCTTGATAACAAAACTGATGCGAGATTCTGAAGAATTGTTTATGTGTGAAACTTCAATTAGAGAATGGTCAAATGGCCAAATATAATTCATCTCCGGTACCATCTTTGGAAAATAAGCAGGATCTGCATAGCTGAGCAAGTGTGGAATTTAAAAAGCATAATGCTGGGCAGCAGATGAGAGGATACACTACAATCTAAGAAATGTAGGAGGGCTGGCATTACAATAATCCACCGCTTATCAAGGCAAAACATTGTTTCCTTTCATGTGACAGGGGAAAATATTATAGAAGCTAAATATTATAAAGACAGGAATTCTTGGAAAACGTTGTAGGCATGATAACCTTGGAAAGAATTTGTTGAATTTGTTTTATCATACTGTCTTCAGCTGCTATGGATAAAAACAATTTTATAACAAGAGGGAGTGAGAAGTCAAAAAGGCTGAACAGAACATGTAAAGTATACATACATCAATGCTTCAGGTTATTATTGAATGTTGGATGATTACAAATGGCCAGGAAAATATGTTTGATCAATGTTTTAGTTTGGCAAGATAAAACAGAAGCATATTTATTTTATGTGAATCTCTGCTAAAAATGTTAAAAAAACAGTATCTAAGAGTGTCATTTTTGGTATCTACCTGAAGGACTTGAAGAGCTCAACAAACTCAATGAAGCTCATCGTGCTGTCAGAAATCATGAGGTTCTGGAAGCCTTTGAAACAGCCTTTACCTCGACCGTGCCATGACCTGCTGCTCCATGCCCTGCAGCCAACAAAGAAAAGGGAAAATATATTAACCTGAGTGAAAGTGAAGGCTTTCACACCTCCAGTCTTCATGTACAGTAATAGTCATACCCAGGCGGTGACTTAGCAGTTCCTGAGAGGATCGGAGAGGATTGCGTGCGGGACTGGTTGGACCCTGCCATGCTGGAGGAGGAGGAGGAGGAGGAAGAAGAGGCAAGCAATCCAGGGCTTTTATTGGATGAGAGAGAAAATGGTCCAGGGAAGCTGTCCTCTGTGGAGGCAAAGAGGAATGAGGGTAAATAAAAAAAATCAAACAGTATCACAGGAAATTATCTGTTAAGATCCCAATGCCCTGTAAAGATTGTTGATTCTTAATAGCTCTAATAAATGTCACCTGGATCTTCTTGGTCGATGCTGTCAGACTCTGGTCCATTTCGATACAGTCCCTCCTTGCAGCTCCGTGTTTTCCTGGAAACCATCTCATCATCTGTGGCATCCCCACTGTCTCCCTGTGTTGGGTGTGTAAATACACATGCTATGTTAAAAACAAGTAACTATTCAATATTAGAAACTAAGTGTGTGAGCTGGTAGGTGTATCAAGGTAAACACACATTGTTGATAAGAGTGACAGCTAAATGAGATACTAGATATGAGATACTATGAGAGCCACAGTGACATAATGAAATAGAACTTTTTTTACTGACCCTGACAAGGACCTTCTTCTTCTTCTTGGTCTTATCGTTGATGCTCAGAGGGCTGTTTTTCTGGCCGCCAGGTTTTTCCACTCCACTTGTACCCATGTTCCACCTCCGCCCACCAAACAGCTCAATGGCGTGGGCTAGTGTAGGACCTTCATACCTGCCATCCTCCTTACAGACACAAACACATAGGCACAGAGGATTAGATGGACATGAAGGAAGACAAGCAAGGACATCCTCACTTATGGAAAAAAGGCATGTGTCAAAAAAAGGAAACAATTGTTTACCTGATACAAACTGACATACTGCCTCCTCAGCCACTGCAACCTTTGGTCAGGAAACTTCTTTAATTTTCTGGTTGCATTCACCAACTCTGACAGGCCCTTATAGAGCATCTGTGCCGTGTGGTTGGGGGCCACAAAGTGCAGGAGTCTAATGGCAGAAGTTAGGAGATTAGTTAAATTATTTACTAAACAGCAAGGTGTTGTACCTATGTACCAGTGTAGCAATGCACCAGTGTACAAAATATGGATTTCAAACCAGGGTAATGGCGGTAACAAGGCACTAACCTGTTGTCGGTGGTACTGAGACCGTAGAGGAGGCTGAGACCGTTCTCCTCCACCGTCATCTGGCTCAGCTTGTTTTGCAAACATACAGCATGAACATCGACTCCCTGATGACCTTGGAACACTGCCTGCACATTCAAATAAACACATTATATTATTGTAAGTGCAGTCTAACTTGTGACTGTTAAATTCTTAAAACACAAAACTGGTATATACACAAGATACAAGATAAATCCATATTCTTGCAATGCATTTTTGAAAACTTTGTGACCAAGTTGAAGTAATGCAGCTTAATTTGTAATGTAATGTAAACTTCAATAAAAAGTTTAAGCTTACAATTTTTTACTTTAATACATTTTTCAACAAACCTTCACCACACCCAGGTCCAAAAGGCCCTCTGCTAGTCCAGCCACTACAGTCTGTCCTAATCCCAGTGGTGGATCTGTGGGGGAAGCCCCTCCGCTCTGAGGCTTACCTGCAATAAATCAACACTTTTACGATATGTTTGAAATGTAGTAAAAGCATAGGAAATTGAGCAACTTGCAACCAGTTTAAATTGTGTGTGTTATAAAGTCATGACACTTACTAACCGTGGAAAAACATGCATGTTTGAAACATAATAATGTCATAGGAAACATGATTTTTTTTATATCATGGATGCACGTTTTCCATTTGTTTGAAGAGCAATAATGAGAGAGGAAATGGGCTTGTCTCCATGACATATAAACATCATAAAATGTACTGATGTACGTAAATCTTGTCAGCAGTTCTTGCAAGTTCATTTTATCACATTCACTTTAACAAATCCCACAGTCCTTCTAGAATTAACCATGGTAAACAAATTGTAAAACTAAATTTTAAATTTTTTAAATAAAAAATTAATGACAAGCGGTTCCCAGCAGAAAGATAAACATGTATTTTAAATTATATTGATATTTTTTATTAAATGACGCATTTTATGCCATAATTTACCCCAGGTGAGTGTTGTGTTGTCAGGTTGTAGTCGCAGCAGACAGCGGGCTGTGAGGTGGCTGTCCTGGTCATAGTGGATCACTGTAGCCCCCTGCAGCAGAAATTGGTGAACGTCTGGTTGTAGCGACAACACATACCTAGAGAAAGACAATACAAATTGAATGGATTGTCTGCTGAGTTATCTGTGTGTGTGGGTGGCTCGTGGTGTGCCTGCTGCTGGGTGTGTGCTGGGTGTGGTGGTGTTGTGTTTCTTTCTTACCAGGGGATGAGCTCAGTGCCATGGCTGAAAGCTCTGTGCGTCTCCTCAGTGCCTTGAAACTCCACCTCCTTCACCGGCTCAGACGACAAGTCGCCCTCTGAATCTGACAAGTCTCCTACCATGAATCTGAAGATGGACAGGAGATCCCGGAAAAAAGTAAAAAAAAAAATAGTTACCTAACCTAGATTTAGTAGCTGAGTTACAAAGTTAATTCATAGAACTACTGCAGCAGAAGCAGTTATTTAGAAAATGCATTGAGGTCTAGTCAACAAGAAATTACCTGCATCTACAGTAAGATAAACAGTAAGATAAATGTAGTCTGTACTGTAGTGCATCAGTTGAACAAGCATAGAAGCATCATGCATTTGTCATTGCACATTCCTTGACCGCTAGAGTTTCGTCTCAAACTGCAAATGAAACCAGGTTAATGTTTGCCTGACACTCTTATAACCACTTACAAGACACGGTTTGATTCTGGTGGCATCCTAAATGAATGTGAACTACAATGGGAGATGGGGACAAAGAAGGAAGAGAGGAATGAAATGAATAAAGAGCGTACAGAAAGGTTTCCACACAAGATCACAGAACAGAAAAGAAAAAGAGGAAAAAGAGGATGCCAGTGAGAAAAAAAAAAGGATTCCTAAACCTCTTTGAGTAAGTTAATATTTATCTGCATCCCAGTACAGACAAATGAACACCATAACCCAAGCCAAAAAAAGACAGTTATTTAGACAGTTGTTTTCCTGAGCTCTAACATGAAATAATATCTCAGAGTCAGAGAAAACTGTCTAGAAACAAAGGGAAGATAATCCAGGTTCCCTTAACACAAACAAGCTTGAAATGAAATAAGCTTTCTAACAACATTTTCATGACCAAATTCCAACTTGTGCCATTAGCCACTTTCCACCAGTGTGCTGAAAAGTACCAGAGCTCTGTTCCTTCCTGTCCTGACAGGAAACTAACCTGTTATCTGTTTTTTTTGTGTTTATGTGAACATCACCTCATATCAGTAACAATCTGCAAATGTGTTCCTTCACAAACCCATTATCTTGTGCCGGTGTTTATGAAAGACAATATACTGTTCAGTAAGAGTTTGGTAAACATCCAGTTCATCTGGCACCAGAAGGTGTGCTGTGAATGTAAAATATCCATGTGTACTTTTAATGGACCGTACAGAATACACATTCCTATTATGTGAGGAAACCAATGTATTATATTGTTTAGACAATATCATGACCATTTTCTCAAGAGGCATATTTTGGCATTGAAAGTAAGAGACCAGCCATACCAATCATTCACAGTATGGCAGTATTCATAGTTCTGATGTAAGTCAGAACATTACAGACCCATTTTCTTTTACATTGTCCATGAGTCATTGTCTGTGAGTGAACAGGAAAATAAAGAACTCAAATTTGGAAACAGACCTTTGGCAGGAAGGGTCACAATGCTAAACAAGAGAATAATTCTGCCTTAAAGGAATGCCTCATTTTAAATAGGTTAAGGGTGCCTTTAGATTCAACTTCAGTGGTCTCTAAAGTACTAGGGTGTTATACAAATTGGAACTAAGTATATAATTATTCAAATAAAGAAAAAATGGGGTAAAATGTTCTTTTAATCATCACAAAGAATGATTTAGCTTGAAAACCGTGTTCTACACAGAAGCCAGAATGAAGAAGTCATTCAGTTAAACACCAGGGGAAAAAAGTGACAACAACTGTAGTATGCAATCAACTGATAGACAATGTCCCAGTGTCTTGATGGACTGGGTCACATGCTATGTGCCATTTGATACTGTACTGTATGAATCATAATCAGAGATTATCCTGATCATAATCCTATATATATATAATCCCATAGCTGGATGGGTTCAAGACCCTGCGACAGAAAACATTCACTTTTCTAAGGTATCCTTAAAGACGATGCTAATTTTTTATGAGACCCAGAGTTGCTGTTGCTGCACGCTGAAAGAACTCTGTCTTTGGGATAAACAAAATGTAAATAAAAGCTTGAAAAAAAAAGGTGTGACTGACTGATTGCGACAGCGGTCCCTGAAGGAGTTGTTTCTGGACGAAGGGGACGGGCCAGTAGAAGAGGGACTAGTGGACGCGTCATCGGGATCCTCTGCCTCCAAACTACGATTACATGATCTGAGAAGCAGAAAGAGGAGAGTCAGAGGTGAGTCAAATGCCCCAAAAAAGGTGAGTAGAAGATAGTCTTTATTTTTGTTTTCAAGGATGTAGTGTACCTGATAATTTGGAGGATATTACTGACAGTAGCTTCTTTTTCTGGGACGTGTAGCCCATCTGGACCAGACCGTGACATGAAGTTGTGCTGGCCGCTGTAGTCAGACACAAACTAGAGAAAGGACAGACCAAACAAGGAAGGATGAATTATTCTTACTGCTTGAATTAGTTCTATGAGATGTGTGTATGTTAGGGTTAGATGCTTGCGGGTGTTTACTGTACTTCTATTGAGTCCTCTGTATTATCTGGAGGAGGTTTGAGGCTGATGATGCTTGCTGTCCCATCCAACGCCTCACTCAGCTCCTTCAGAAAAACCCCGCAGAAGGGCACCACCTATGGTGTGAGAAAAACACATTGGTCAGACAAGAAAGAAATAATGTGAATTATTAGTCATGAAACAAATACATGCTGATTTAAAGTGGTAATTTAGGACAAATTCCCAAATGTCACCTGAATAAACAGCAACCTACCTTGCATCCTGGGATATTGAGAGCTCTGGTCACAACTTTCTTGTACTCAGAAGAAGACTCGTGCTGAGCCATGGCGTCCTTAAGGCTCCTCATGGTCTCAATGTCTGACTGGTCCATGAACTGCCACATCTTCAGCACTTTGCGGGACCTGGAGGTCAAAGAAAATCTCAAATTCCAGTTGGTCTGTGGTCCAGTCTGTGTGGTTGTATAGTTTTTTTTTAACAAAACAGACATGCACATCTCTGTGTAATGTATGTGAGTGTATTTGAGTTAGTGTCTGTGTGCGTCTTAAAACCTGAGTCCAGCCAGGAACTCCATGACACCGTTGTAGTTTCCCATGTTCCAACAGCATTTAGCCACATGGACCAGGTAGGAGAAAACTTCTCTCTTCTCCTCCATGGACCCTGCTGTCAGGATCAGCCACGTCACCCATGAACTCACCTGTATACAGAGTTTCAATATTACAAGTTAGATTACATTAGAGATGAAAAACTAACATTTATACTCTTGGAGGCTTTGCCTCTCCACCAGAACTAATTGGAGTAAAGACGTGATCATTTATGAAACACAGTTAAGTTGTACCTGGTAGAAGGACTTATTTTTTTTTTTAAATGTGATTTTTTTAATTCATACCCATATTTAATATTTAAAATACAAATATTTTGAATTTAAACAGAAAAAAATTAGCCCTATCCAGTGATAAAATATCTTCTAAGCCTTAGTACCGGTGCAATATGCTACATATAACTACATGAAAATAAGACATTTCTGATTAGACAATCCACATAAAGGTTGACTTCATGTACCAAACCACAGGATGATTTGTAAATTGTGTTAGTGTGTTACTACAAGGCTGTTACTAGGTGTGTTAAAACCCAGTGAACAGGAGAAGAGGTCCATAGCCAAGTGACGGTCAGATGAAACAACTGTATTGTGTGTGTGGTCTTACTTGTGCTTGTGTCATCTCTTTAAATTCTGGTATGGCAAGCTGTGTCTAAAGTGGTCCAGTAATTTATGCACAGGACTACGGCAGCTGGCCACACACACACACACTCAAGAAAGAATGCGATCAGATATCTATCAGCTGCACTCTGTCTCTGCACTGACTGCCCTCTAGCACGCACAAAAGACACGATGGAAGAAGCAGATATGCATCAGGGTCAGCTTCCTTTAACATTCTCTGTGACTGACATACACACACATACAATACAGGAAAAGATCAGATTTCAGTCTGGCTGCTTCTTCTAGTGTCTCTATGCGTTTGAGCCTCATGAATGTATTGACACAAACATAGAGAACACACACACACACATACACACACTGAAACTCCCTAACCCCTTTGCAGGCGGTAAAAACATCCCCCTGGCCCAGAGATCTATTACTGGGTTATGTAAGGATCTTTAAAGCCCACCACTGACTGACTTCACAGGGACTAAATAAAGCTACACGCACACGCACGCACACACACACACACACACACACAAACTCCAAAACATGTAACAAAATACTGAGTTTCACAGGTTTGTGTTTGTTGTGATGAACCACTAGTAAAATGTGATTTTGTTTCTCCCCACGTCACCTCCGACCCCTCACTTGATTAATTCACAAGCAAGCACAGAAATCATACATAATACATTCAACCAACCCCCGTGCCCATCTACAGAATACAGACCCATTGACATACACTAGATATGAGACCATAAATACTCACATATCAAGCATATATACAATTTAACACACAGTATATACAGACATCTTAGATAAGAGCTTGTACGTACACAGAACCTACTTCATGAACATATGATCTACAGTCTTTGATAAAGTGCTAAATTCTATTTGTCAGACTCTAAAAAAACTGGTTGTCATAATTTCAAACTCACTTATGTTAATAGTGTTATGGTTTTTTAAGTCTCACATTTTCTCCCTATCGAATACGAGTGAAAGCGCACCAATTTATGCATTCCTATGTGATAGAAGCATGGGCCTCAGAAGGGCTGGGGGTTGGGAAGGTTACTGTGAAAATGTAATCCATCTCAGACAGTCTCCTCACTAACGTTATGTCTTGATTTACTCAAACTCAGAAACATGAAAAAAGAACACTTAGGTTAAAGTGGCACACTTTCACATGGCCTACTTTCCTTTTTATCATGGAACCGTAGATGTTAACATTTCCTTTTTTAAGTGTTCCATCTCCATCTGCTGATGACGATCAAGTGATATCATCGAAAGAGGCAGAGCGGCTAGTAAATGGATCTTACGTTGGGAATGTTTTCTCGGAACTGTTGTTTTCGAGGTAAAGAATGAACTTTGAACCTCAGCTGGTAAGCTAACACGCACCAGAAAATGTATATTTTAACACCTTTAATTCTGGAAATACTAAAAAGATCTTGTGGTGAGACTGTTTTTTCAACTAAACTGAAATGATACATCAAGAAGAAAATGTTGCCACATCATTTGAAACTGCACTTTTAATGTTTTTGCCCTTGAACTACAGTAAATATCAGATAAGAAGAGCATCTTGGGTTGCACTTGTCACATCATCACGCCACATTGCTGTTGGTATCCAGCTATCTAGCACAGTTAATAACTAACCAGGTGACTTGAATGTAAACGTATAAGTCACTATTGTCACTGATCACCTGAAAGTAAAGTATGAAGACAGTCTTACTTAACTTGCAAAGGTTTTAGTGTTTCATCTTTAATTTGAATAACCTTGAGCATCAGAGACTCCTGGTAATGTAGTGATTAAGACGCATACCAAGTAAAACCTATCGTTTCCACTTGGGTAACTTCGCTTCCTGTCAGACCCCCTACTCTCTCCCCATGTTTCCTGTCTCTAGCTCTACTGTCACTATCCATAAAGGGGACAATTCACCCAAAAAACCCTTGAATATCATCATCTATAACTGTAATTAACCATTCTCAATACATTCATACAATAACATACAAAATTAATTCATTCTCCAAACACTATTGCATCATAACAAAGTGCACAGCCTCATCTAATTAAGTAATTAGCCGATTCTATTCATCACCGACAGAAATTCTTCTCTAACTTGTCACTGTTCTCAGAAAAATCTCTCCTGAGCTGGCAAGGAGGCAGCATCATGCTCTAATAAAGCTTCAGATGTGCTTATCTGTTACTCCCCTGCTCTGTGCAGGATGTGTGCACCTTGCATGAAAATCTGCTATCAGTCACTTTTAGTCGGCAGTTGGCTTGAGTTACAGTCACCATCTAAACCACTCTGACAGCCTACAAAGTGGCTTTTTGAATCGCCACAGATCAAGGCGGTGTAGAGAGCTGGCATCTCTTCTAATATTCCAGATAGCAAAAGTGTGTCCTCAGTGTTGTGAATGGGAGATAAAAGACAAGATATGAAGAAGTACTATATATAGAGAAGAGTGTGTAATGGCACAGAAGAGCAGAAAAGAGCAAACAAGATACAAGGACAGACGGGAGTTTTTCAAAAAGTTTCTGTTCTCAAACAACAGCCTCCCCTACATATATAGCGTTGTCGATGGCAGCTTGACAAAAATTCAAACACATGCGCGCACGCACACAGAGCGAGAACCGGAGCTAGGTACAAGCTGATCCCCCTTGATGTTTGTGTATGTGTCCATCTGTCTGTCCGTCTGTCTGTCTCCATCTGTGCGTGTGTTATTAGTTGAATTATGAGGGTCAGTTTCTCCTTGATACATGAATTACATAACCAAGGTTGACAGAGAACTATTACAAACTCAACCCATGAGCACATACTGTACTCACCCTGTCAAAGCTAAAAACTCCGGACAGACACAAAGGGGCCCAAACTGTTGGCCCTTCCCTGCATCCAACAGTTCTCTTGCCGTGCTATCCTTTTTAAACTGCATTATCTTTCACTCCCATACATGGCTTGAAAATGTCAAGAAAATGTTGTCTGTCAAGTGTGAAGACTAAAAATGTAATATCTTAAAACTGTGGATCCAGCCCAGGGCAGTGTTGGCAGTTCTTAATCAAGGCGACTTCAATGTTACCAACAAAATGGTCACCTTTTTTCCTTGTAGTTAAGATCTCTTTTTGGAACATATCTTATTTAACCTGTGAAAATGTATTTCTACATTGTTACTTTAAATACCTAAAAAAATCTTCTATTACAGAGCACAACCCAGAATAAGTTATCGTAACTAGCGCTTCATCTAAATTATTGTCAATACCAAATAATATACTGATTGTCTCAACTAATTGTAGTTGTTGTTGAATCAGTAGGGGGCAAAATTAATGTAATGAATCAGAAGTTCTAGACCAGTTCACAAACAGAATACTTAAAAAAATCATCCCATTTGAAAAGAGAGATTTGAAAGATTTGACAATACATGAATTGTTGTCATTATTGCAGATTTTTTGTCAATCAATTAATGGATTCATTGACGAATCATATCTTTTCCGTAACAGTGCCAATAATGGTTTGTTTGAGTTGTTAAAGAATAAGAAACAACTCCCTATAATGTGACAAGTGGTGAAGAACAACTGAAAGTTCATTCAAAAACATGGAAGATTCAACCCTTTTCTAACCGTAACTGTAGTATACATTCAAAGCTAAGACAGAATACTCAGACAGTATCTCATCTGTCACAATTTGAAGCCACTTCAGGGCTCCATCAGTGTCTTCAGATGGAGAATCACTGTTGTCATTCGACTCCATATGTGCCCATATATGGCTACAACACACATTTGGGAGACTATTTTTTGTGTGTCCCTGCTCCCGCCGACTTAAATGAAAAGCAGCTGATGTGAAAGGCATGCAACCTAAAGATGACATCATCAGTTCCAATCAATCTCTCCCTCTCTCGCGCTCTCTTTCTCAGCAGTACAGCATTATGATTGTTTATTCTCGAAGTCACTCACCAGAAAAGACACGAGGGGAGAGCAACCTCAGCGGTGCAAGTTGCTTAGAAGTTGCAGTGAGTGTGCGTGCATGTGTGGACACAGTGTGTGCTTCAGTCATGAGCTGATAAGTTGATATGACTCGCACAGCAAATACAACCAGGCAAGCCCAGCTGAAGGAAAACACAATTACTGGTCTGCTATGCTTTTCAAACTTTCATGTCAAATGGCAATGCATGCATTTGCACTGTCTCTGACGATGTCATTAAGGGGAGGTCACTAAAGGGCACAATCGAAGGAAGCACTGTTTTTTTATTAATATTTTCCCAATAGATGACAAGTGCCCTTTTCCAACATGGATCACATCTCTATATGGTCTTGTTTTAAAAGTTTTTTAAGGCATTTAGGAGTTAAACCATAAAACTATTCCACTTAGATTGCTATCACAGAGAAGTGATCTCATCCAGATTTCTTTCCAGATCCTGTAGTAAAAACTGAGCTTGTGAGATATACCGTTGTAGACTGTGCAAGGTTACTATGATGAATCACAGCTCTTAAAGTTGAATTAGGCTTACTGACTTCAAAAGGTCACAACACAAACAGGGTAAAACATTTAGATGTTAGGTGGAGCTAAAGCAATAATGAATTAACTGATTAGTCAATCAACAGAAAATTAATCAGCAACTTTGTGTTCATCGATTACTTGTTTAAGTAATTCAAACAATAATACATTTTTATATAAGCAGACTCCTCACCTCATTGAAGCGCGCTACCAAGTCCTCCACAGCATTACTTCGCTGAGCACTCTGGGTAGGCATGGAAGGCACAGACAGTGAGGCCTTGAGGTTTGGGTGTCGTTTGGTTTGACACTCTGGACTGCCCAGGTCTCGAGTGAGGAAACAGAGGTAGTCCAAGGGAAAGACCTGCAGACAGACACAGTATTGAAGGGATAGACGAGTGAGTTATTATTATTGCCAGCTTAGAAATAAACTTTTTCTCTTGACATGCTAGTCATTTTCTCGTTATGTCTTTATCCTACCTTATCCAACCCAATATGAAACTCTTGTGCAATACAGAAACACAATACAATAAAAAAAATATTCTTTCATTTTTTGACCCAGATGTGTGTTTGTGTTCCCACCCGTTGGTAAAGCTGCTGCTCTTGCTCGGTGAGGATACAGGCGATCTCCTCTGGGAACTGAACAAGGTGGCGCACCTCTGCCAGCTCCTTACTGATCCCACTGACACTGGGAGGAATAGAACTGCTGCTGGTCATACTGTTGGCCAGCTGACGCTCTGGAAGGGACAGATAAAGAGTAGCGAAAGACATTAACGATCCTACTTTTTCCACATGCCTTCTCATCATCTAGCTGGTATTTTAGGTCCGCAGTCAAGAGAAAAAGAGTGAGAGAGATGAAAAGAAGGTATCAAATACCCAAGGACAGCGGAGACTGCTGTTGTTCATACAAGTAAAGAAATGGAAGGAGAAGAGAAATCAGAGAGGAGGGATTCAAAATGAGACATTTTATCTACTCTGATGTTTCCCTTACACCATAAAAGTTTTAAGCCTCAATGAAATGTGCGTCTCTTTTCAGGATTAACCTGAAGGTCTCAAGTCTTCTGAACGATCAATCATTGCATACCATACAGTCTCAAACCTTCAACCAGCTGAGAGAAGCCAGCACACTTCACCCCCTAGAAGTAAACAGCATTGATCACCTGCCAGTTCCTGTGTTTGGATTTCAGTCAGGTCCATTAGTCTGTCTGTTTACACACATTCGCAGACACGCACATATGCAAACTTGTCCTCATCTCTGCTAACAAGGGACTAATGGACAGTTTCTACACTGGTGCTGGAGCTGCCAGGTGACATACTGTACATTGTTGGGATGAATGCCACATAAACAGGCTCTTTCCACCACTGCAACTTTTCCAGGAAACATTTGAGGGACTCTTTGAGGAATTTATCTTGCAGTTTTATCACAGAAATGTACATAACCTATGTTAATCACTGGGACATAGTTTCTGCCCCCCCCAAAACTTCCTCCTTCTAAGCCAGAGACTATCGGGGTGAGGTTTCTGGAGCTGAAAGTTGCTGAGTGGTAAAACTCAAGTTATGACACTGCACCTTGACACTGTTACAAACTAAAGTGAAATACCACAAAGGCTAGTATATATACATAAAACTGAATGAGCACCAGGAATTAGACAGAGTCTGCCTGGTCGTTGTGCACTGTCATATACACAGAAACCTACTCATACACCCTCCTGCAACCACACACACAGAAAATAGTGTATGCATACACATATGCAGACACACACTTAAAGGTTGTCCTTGGTAACCCTTGAGATGTGCAACAGGTAGCCATGGCAACAGCTGTGACTGGTCTGCAGGAAAAAAATAGCTTATTTACACAGTTTGATTTGTGGATCCGGCCTCACAGCTTCTTTAATGAACTCTCAGTGTGTGAGTGTGAGTGAGTGTGTGTGTGTTGTGTGGTGTGTGTGTGTGAGTGTGTCTGTGTGTGTTGTGTGTGTGTGTGTGTGTGTGTGTGTGTGGGTGCGTGCGTGCGTGTGTGTAGAAAAGAACATAGACAGATTGACCATAAGCGACAGTTGGGAACACAGAGAAGAGAGAAAAGAAGAGAGAAAGGGAAGAAAGGAAAGATTAAAAGAAATAAACCTGTAAAAGTGGAGTTAGGGACAAAGCTGGAAAAGGTTATTTGAACAGAGACAAGATCAGTGAAAAATTCTTCACACAAGCAAAAAAGAGAGAGAGAAATTAGAACAGAAGAGAAATGGGAGGAGAGGACAGAGATATGATAGAGGAAGGAAGGGATAAGTAGAACTAGTGGAAATTCTGTAGTTTAGACTATGCCGCAGGTGTGAGCTATCTATCACAGTTAGAGAGACAGCATAATCCACTAAATCTTTTAAATTTCCTACAGAGAGAAGGAGTACAGGTTATGAAGGATGGTTCATTGTACAGTCCTGACCTGGACAACATTTTTCATAGAAATATTTGCATTAAATGAAACAGAGAATAAAAACAATTTGACAACTGAAACGAGTAAAATGTGTTTCAGAAGCCTGGTGTCCTGAGGCTACACAGAAGCTATTTGGCCTTTCAAGAAAATTGCATCCTGGCGAAAATTATTACTGAGCAAATTCAATGCATAAATACTGCACCTCCTCAACAATACGCAATTTTACTTAAACTGGTTGTGTTAAAAACGATAGAAGATAAGATGGAACATAAGAGATAACTTTTTTAACTCACTAAAAACTCCTAAACATAAGAGCAATATCTCCTCATCTCTCCCCCTTTTTACATGCTGACCTTCTGAAGTGGAAATGCAGACACCCTCGAATCAGTGATATGAATTTCATGACCGTGCAGATGCTTCAATCATTCATTTATTCATCCTTTAAACTGGGAAACAAACAAAGCTGGCAGACAAGGCAGTGACAAAAAAGATCTTAAGAGATTCTAAAGAATTAATTAAAAGCAAATTAATAAAGAAAACAATTATTACAGAAAACTAAAAAATTCCAACTGTAACATATTGACGATAAAGAAAACAACTGGGGTGCACATATAGCTGTATCAGTCTCTGTTCAAGACCTACGTTATGAACCTAAACTGTTTCGTGTCAAAGCAGCGGGTCCCAAATTAGAATCACCAGATAGAAAATGTATTAGAAAACATGTTATCAGCAATTCATTGTGCTTTATCTTGTGTTATTCATGATATCTTCAACTTCTGCCTGCAAAGCTTCACACAAACTGTTCAAAACCAGTAATGACAAAGCTGTGATACATAAACACTGAAGACTGAATGGAATGAGATCTTGGATTCCAGTGATGGTGTAAGTTTATCTAATATAATCAAATGGACCCATGAGAAAAAGCCCAAAGCACTAGTTTGAGAAATACTGATATATATGATATTGAAGCACTTCTACTGTGGGACGGAGAGAACATGAACCTGGACTAATTGACCGTTCCCTGTGGTTTTTATGCATGGGTTTACTCATTTGTAATGCATCATGAATACTAATACACTGTGTGTGTGTGTGTGTGTGTGGTGTGTGTGTGGTGTGTGTAGTGTGTGTGGTGTGTTGTGGGTAGTGTGGGTGCTGTGCTGGTGTGTGTGTGTGTGTAATGGATCCTTTTCTAAATGCGGTGGTGGATGGAGTACAGTAGATTGGCTGAACATCCTTTTTAACCATTTCCTGATGTTTCTACACATAGCATGCCTCCTCTCGGGTGATGTTTAGAGGGTTACGTGTACGTTAAACAGTATATGCACATTAAGATTAAGAAACTTTACATTTAAAGCTGGCATTCACATCAATGCAATTAAGAAAATTACATTGAAGTTGTTGTTTATTCAGATGAACTCTACAGTGTGTCTGAAAAAGAAAAAAAAGTCAGTAATCTATCTTGATCTGATTATTTTCTATGATTTTGTTTTTATCATGTTTGCCTTACCTCTGATTATAGCAACAGTACATTTACTTGAGCCATCACCATCACTCCATCTATCTACATACATCCAATATAATTTACATATATAGTAGTAGGTATAAGAAAATCAATGCTTCAAGGCGTTCACCAATGCCAAATTACAGCAAAATGAGTCTTGTTCAGTGAGATACAGTATTTAAAATCAACAAATTACTGACAACAAATCACTGGCCAATCCTGTATGGCAACGTGACTGGAAAAAATAGCTTAAGCCTTCAACACTGTTTGTTTTGTTCACTGAGTAAATCACAAGTTATGTACACTCAACCAAAGGAGAGGAACCTTGAACATAGACCCAGCCATCTTTCTCTGCCAGCCAAGTACACACATACACACACAAAGATACGTACATTATTCTCACAAGCACTTTCAGAGCTGATGACAACTTCCCCCCTGGAGTATGTAGGGCATTCAAACAGGTGCAGCACAAACAGCCTGAGTCAAAGGACTGTAACAAATTAGCCTTTTAAACTTATAAATATCATTGTACATGTAAAATCATTTCTATTCCAAACATCAACAATCTTATTCCGATTTCTGGTCACTCATGTTTACAAATGATTGATTAAACTGTCCTGCACCACAGTATGAAACCTGTGTAGTGTTGCATGGATGCATCACCACATGTGAAAATCTGTATAATCTGCCTTTAAAATCTCCAGCCAACCTGCAGCATCAGGCAGTTTCCCTTTAGACCACAGCAAAACAATAGTTACTTGCTTTTAATCCATGGCACAAATAGCCTGCAGTAAATAACAGAATAACATCTGGTAATACATAGCCCTTGCTGGCACGCATACACATGCACATGAAACTACACACAAGTAAGGTCATGTACGAACCTGTGCAAATAAAAATCAACAAGTAGCAGCAAACAAACTGACACGTGCACAGTGGCAAACATGAACAGATAAAAATAAACAGAGTAAGGACTCTGTAATAACACAGATGCAGCCAAATACACAGACACACAGCAGCAGCAGCAATAAACATTGATCTGTCTGACTGCTGACAACACTTGAATTATCACAGGGAGTTTCCCTCTTGGATCAGATATGCACATTGCATGCAAACACAGAACTACATGCAGACATAAATATAACATTTAGGGTTCTTTCGACCGAATAAAGGTGATAAATTGGGACCAATTGAGCAAAAGTCTCCTAGTTATTAAACCTAAGATCAAATTTCAGCATCAAATGTGACACATAATTGAGCCAAGTGAAAGTAAATTTGAAGATGTAGAGATTTTTAAAGAAGCATGCAGTGCAGAATCTTTGTTTCAAGTCAACCTATACTGTGAACGAGGCCTCATTCAATCTGTAAGAAAGAAAGGTACACCAAATGAGTTTGGTGTCTCTGTGTAACTTCACAGTGACTTGTGATATAAATCAGATGGAACACAGGTCATTTTGGTGGTTTTGTTTTTAACTGTAAGGTGTATTACTGTATCTTCAGAGTCTAAACATATCCACAGCCATGTGTGACATTCACTCTTAGGGTCAATTCAGTGTGAAGTTGCCCAGATGCCTTCTGTCAGGTTTTTGGTATGAAGGGGTGACGGTGCACAACACTTCCTCACACACATTTTTTTTTAAACTGCTGCATCACCCATCGCACATAAAATGTCAAAGCTAAGTTGATGCAAGACATTATTAAATCATAAATTCAAAACGCATGAATTTACGATTTAATAAAGTCTTGCATTTCAGAATGCAAAATATAATGGGAAACAGAAAAAACAAATCACAAGGAATAAAAGAGCA